GAGAAACTCTGGGGGAAGAGATTTGCAAGCAAGTGTATTATTTTGTGGGCAAAAACCTTGCAAGCCTGGACTCTGAAATTAAGCAGGCACCTTGGAAAATGTTAATTCTTTTGATTGCCTTTAATTTTATTACAAAATCACACACTAAATTGTCATCCTGCTGGCTCCAATACTGAGATTAGAGAGGGATTCGGATGTTTTCTCAAGCTAAACTTGTTTCATCATGAAAGGAATTTGTCCATGATTCCCAGATGTCCAAGGCCAGAGTATATGCCTGTCACAATCCAGTTGGATACTGCAGAACACAATCCATGCTCCTGGTATTGTGCCAGCACAGCACAGTTTGTTGCTAGTGAAGCCTGATTTTTATTTTTTTGGTGCTGTTTTTTGCTTCTCTGAGGGGCTTCCATAGTAATTATTGAGCATAAGTAATTTTAAAGAGCCTATTTTTACTATTGGCCAGTGACCGTATGATTATGCTATTTATATAATTTTTGAAGCTAAAGACTCTCTGATTTGGGGAAGAAATATTGCTTTAAAGTGACAGCAGATTTTGCCAATACATAGACACAGAATTTGAAGCAAAGTCAGTAAATTGCTTGTGGTACCCTTAAAAGTAATCCAGTGACCTTCAAGCAAAATAAAATACAAATAGCAGACTGAAATAGATTAAAAAAAAAAAAAAAAGATTAATTCTTGTAACTAGTTAACTTGTTCATATGTCTTCTACAAAACCACACTTGATTGTATACTTTCAGCTATATAAGGCCACGGTCTTAGGGGAAACCATAAACATTAGTGTTCTGGGAGAAAAGGTTAGGAAAAATCTCTGTACTTACAAAACTGAGTCACTTCAGTTTCCTGCTATTAAGTTTCAGCAGAAAAAAAGTCATCTGGCTTGCCCCAAGCAGTCACTCAGGGGTGTTTTTGTGAGAAGTAGCACAAATCACCCTAATAAATGCAGAGTGTCTCCCAGGTCTTGTCAGTGAAGTGTGTGTGGGGCCAGCTTGGTCCCAGCAAATACACAGAGATCCACATCGTTGGGACAGCAGCTCCCAGGTGCTGGGAAACAGCTGAGACATGCTATGCTTTGGATGTGACAGAAGAGGAAAAAAGGAGGAATAATACACTTAAACTGCTCAATCACAGGCTATTATTTAACTGCCCCGAGGTTTGATTGTTATTTTTACCCCTTCAGCACATTGTTGTATAAGTTGTTTGGAGAAAAGAGGCTATCTGTGGCTTACATAAAGCGTTGTGTTCCCTATTTTATTGCTGAAAGCTACTCAAGAGAAAGTGCTCACCTTAAAATGGGGCAAAAATATCAAGTGTGGCCTACTCAAAATCAGTGCCTTACATAAACTGGGATCCTGCTTTGCCAAGACTGGAGGCAAACTGTGCTATAAACACCAGTTACTGTCATGTATTAAAGGTTCAGCGAAGAGCCCGATCATCACCTTTGAAGAAGAAACAAGTATAATAAATGATGTCTCAAATCTGTGTTAATGATCTGATAGCTCTTTATGTTTGTAGGAATTATCCAAGTGCTGGCTGACTTGACACTGACCATGGAGGAGGAACACGACAGGCAGAAATACTGCCAAGACACTGATCTGATTTTCTGACCGAGTGCCAAAAATGTCCACAGCCAATTGCAACTGCACTAAAAAATATGAAATAAAATGTGAATCAGGTACAGTAGTTTTGTTTCTAGTGAGTCAGTTAAAAAAAAACCCCAAAGATTTTAAATGTCCTCATTAATGTTCCCATGTAGAGAGTTTGTATTTAATAGCTGTTTAGCTATTAAGCTCGTTAAAACAGTTTTGGGGAACTATTTAAATGTTTAACTCATCAACAGCCATCTTCAGCTTTCTGTGATTCCCGAGTCCTTGCAACATTTTCAGTGTGGCTGACTCACTTCTGAAATCCCCTTAGCATTTGGGTGTCCACTGATCATGCAGACCTGGAGGAGTGAGCTCCCAGCTTCAAAACTGGGGCAAGACGGTATTTTAGCAGGACAAAAGATGACATTTAAACTTCCTGGGAATAAATCCTTAAAAAATTTTCTCAGTATCAGTTGTGGTATATGAATAAAATAAGTGTGCATTAATGCTAGCAGTTTTCTCAAAGACAGCGATAGCATCTTAACTGATTCTTAGCTCTGCCTTCTGCTTTTTATTTCATTTAGGGCAGAAAGGCTTTGCAATTCCTTCTGCTCAATGCAAACTCTACAAGACCAGCTGAACCCATCATGACGGAGATATACATACGTATATATTTATATGTATGTATGTATATATATAGTTGCAGTAGTAACAGTGGGATTACATAGAACGTAAAGCTCTAAAATGAAAAGTCAGATTTCCAAGGGAAAAAAGCACCCTATGAAGAAGTGTGCATTGAGACTGTCACAGAAGCACCATGGGATTTCTTCAGCAGCACCTCCAGCTGGGAGACACAATTCCCTGGCCTCTTCCCTGGGATAATCTGTCAGAGCCATGCACCCACTCCTTCCATGTGCTCTAACCCTTGGGCTCTGCCATGGGTAAGATGCTGAGCTGCCCCCTCCCACACAGACAAGGAGCTTCCACATCAGATGGGAAATGTGCAGGGAGCTTCCAATTATAAAAGATGTCATGAATGGAGTTCAGGACTGTGTCTGAGGAACCATCCTCAAGACTATAGTTTGGAGTTCAGACAAGTGAATTCTGCCTACATCTCTGAAAGCTATGAAGGAAACACATCCTTGTTTTCTGGTTGGGTTTTTTCCCCCCAGCTTTACCTAGCTAGGTAAGTTGCTGATTTTCCACCACATTACATAAAATTCACAGGTGTTCGAATGCATTTAGCTAGCAGTGTTTTGGGGGGAATTTACTTTCTCTAGCCCTTAGAATCACAGAATCATTTTGCTTGGAGAAGACCCTGGAGACCATCGAGTCTCAGCACTGCCAAATCCACCACTAAACCACATCCCCAAGTGCCACATCCACACATGCTTTAAATACCTCTGGGACTGGTGACTCCACCACTTTCCTGACAGACTTTTCCAATTCTTCATTGAAGAATTTTGTCCTAATATTTAATCTAAACCTTCCCTGGCACAGCTTGAGGCTACTCTCTCTCATCCTATTGCTTTTTACTTGGGAGAAGAGACCAATCCCAACTGCCTTTTCATGTGTATTTAGTCACATTTTCTTACTCAGCTTTAGCAAAGGGTTGTTTTATCTTAAGAATCTGCCCCCAGATCTGAAAAAACTGATTCCTTGTCTGCAGCTCTAAAGACATAAAATTTAACTTAGATAGTGACCACTAGAACTGATGATGAAAGAACATAATATCCTTTGAAAAATATTACAGCTACTCTTGCCAGCTCCACAGGATCCCCATTATTAACAGCAGGCAGGGGAAAGCCCCCAGAACAGTGGGAGAAGAACACCTGCAGAAGGAGCTTCCTCCACACACACGTCACCAACTCTGCAGCTCTGGCCTCGCCGGTGAGCAGTACCAGCTACACTTTGAGTTCCCTTGTGCCTGAGTTCATAGAATCACGGAGTATCCTGAGCTGGAAGGATCCAGCTCCTGGCCCTGCACAGACACACAAACAATCCCACCCCGTGCCTGAGGTTGTTGTCCAAGCGCTCCTGGAGCTCTGGCAGCCTTGGGGCCGTGACCATTCCCTGGGGAACCTGTTCAGTGCCCCAACACCCTCTGGGGGAAGAACCTTTTCTGATATCCACCCTAACCCTGTCCTGACACAGCTCCAGCCATGCCCTCAGCTCCTGTCCCTGGTCACACAGAGCAGAGATCAGAGCTGTCCCTCCTCTTCTCCTGGTGAGGAGGCTGCAGAACTGCTGTGAGCTCTGACCTCAGTCTGCTCTTCTCCAGCTGAACACATCAAGTGCCCTCAGCTGCTCCTCGTGCAGCTTCACCTCCAGGCCCTTCACCAGCATCTCCTTAACCCTGCTTTGGACACTCTTAACAGCTTTAGATTGTTCTTATATTTTTCTTATCAGCAGCACCTGTGCAGCCCATGGAGATAGCACAGTTCAGGATTTGTGTGCTTGAGCAAAAGTCTCTTGTGTCACAGCGGGCACAGGCTGCACTAACACGGGGCAGGAGAGTGACAGAGGATCTATCACATGGAAGAGTCACTGCTGAGGTCCACAGGTGTTGTGGAGGTTTCATTTCCGACTGGTTCTAGTGGGATCTGCTGGAGGGAAGGAATGCCTGGGAATAGCTGGAACACACTAATCTCTTACAGGTGCACCCGGAGGTCCTGGTGCACGAGGAACACCCCTCGCTCACACCAGCACTGCAGGCAGATTCACTTTGGAAGCGCACTCCTGGTACTGCCAAAAACCAGCCACAGCTCTGCTAACACACTTCAGCACACTTGTAAAGGTTATCTCTATTTCATGCTACTTTTCGCTGATAGATGGGACTGCTCTCTGACCACTCACAGAGGCCTCTGCTGACCAAAACTATTCCAAGATCCTGACTCCTCAGATGAAGCATCCTCTGTACAACACCCGGAAAAAGGAACAGCAGCCCTGCCCAGCCCAGGGATGTGAGCAGGGCACCAGCCCAAGCGTTGCAAAATGGGGAATATGCCAAGATTATCTTAAGTCACGGTATTCTTTCGTGTAAGATCTTTGTGTATTTCCAAGCCTAACCAGCAAGAATGGAGATCTAACCATTGGAAGAGACAGCTGCCAGCATCCCTTACTCAAGGACATCCTGGAAATAACATGTTTTAAGGATGCAGTAAATCAGTGCTGATGTACGTCTGTGTATACACTGCTAAAATACTCCAGGTCGATGTGTTCTACAGCTGAATTATATTCATTGTAAGACAAAAAAAAACCCCATCACGTCTATATGTAATCGCGTCTATAAGTGGTCACGGCTGGTTGCAGGCCGGGGCTCGAACCCGCTCTGCGCGGCCTCGTGAGGGCGGAGCGGTGCCGCCATGGCCGCGCGTCTCGCGAGAGGCGGCGCGGGGCGGGGGCGGGCACATGGCGGGGCGGGGGCGCTGAGGGGCGGCTGGCGGGGCGGCCCGCGCTCCCTCCCCGGCGCCGGCGGCTCCTCCTCTGCTCACCTCAGCTCACCCCCTGCATGCCGGCGGTGCCGGGGGCGCTGTGGAGCGGGGCACGGGGCCGCCCGCCATGGCCGAAGCAGGAGCGGGAAGCGCGGAGGGCACCGAGGAGGAGCGGCGGACGGCGGAAGGTGGGAGCGGGTCCGCCCGAGCAGCGGGAGGTGCGCGCCGCGTCCGCCTCTCCCCTTGCGCGCTTTGCTCCGTGCCGTGTGGGGGGTGTGTCTGCCTGTTTGTGTCTGTCTGTCTGTCCGTCTGCCTCGGTGATGTGGCACGGGCGGGTGTTGTTGTGGGGCTGGTGCCCGTGGGGCGCTGCCGGCTTCCCGTGAGGGCGGCTCGGGAGCGGTCCCGTGCCCGGCGCCGCTCCGGGGCCGCTCGCCTTTATGGCTGATTCCTGCTGGGCGCTGCTCGCTGGCTGCTCCCGCTCGGTGGAGTTCAGTGGAGGTACCTGGAGCGCCCGCACGGAAACACAGAATCGCGGAATGGGCTTGGAAAAGACCTCTGGAGATGGTCCAGTCCACCCCCGTGCCCAGGCAGGGTCACCTGGAGCAGGTGACACAGGAGCGTGTCCAGGTGGGTTTGGAATATCTCCAGAGAAGGAGACTCCAGGCCCTCCCTGGGCAGCTGTTTCAGGGCTTTGCCACCCTCAGTGTGCAGAAGTTCTTGCTCAGGCTGAGGTGGAACTTCTTGTGTTTAGTTTGTCCATTGCTCCTTGTCCTGTCCCTGGGCAGCAGTGAAAAGAGCCTGGCACCATCCTCTTGGGATCAGCCTGTGTAATGGTCACTGGGCTGTACAGCTGTGACAGATGTGTCATCATACTGATGCGATGTGCACTAAAAATCTGGGGAGTTTTGGGTGTGGTTTTTTTTTTGTTTGTTTGGGTTTTTTTTAAACTTAGTTTGTAGTTCACTGTTTCTGGTACACACATACCCTTGCCTTCCTAAAACTCTAGTATGATTTTTTTTTTTTTTTTGGTAGGTAAACAGAATTTTGTATTTTAGGTATAGTGATTTTGGCTTTTCTCTGTGTGTGTGTATGTGTGCCCACGCTTGTATGGCCACCAAGGCTTGATCTTTCCATGTTTTTAATCATAAGTTTCTGATACTAAATCAAGGCTGGTTGTAAACCACCAGCTGCTGCTCGTGCTCCTGCTTGCAAACTAGTAGAAGGGAGCGTTTTGCACGGGGTGTGGGGAAACACAAATGGTCCAGTCCCTCCTGAGCCATCACTGCAGCTCTGTAATAGTTAGCACCAATTCTTCTAAGCTTAGTAGTTGTTTTCTAAATGCCTCTTGGGTTATGTGTGCTTTAATGTATGTGGGGATCCTTGTTGTTTCAAATCCTTGACGAGTTTCTGTCTGTGCTGCTTGATTGTTTAAATACTGTTATAAAATTTTGTGGCAAATAATGTAGTGTTTGAAAACAAAGTGGTGGTGTGTGTGTTGGGGGGGGTTGGTAGCATTTTTGCAGTCTGCTCAACTGTGCTTAAAATGTAAGATTTATTGTTTCTATATCATGCATATACTGAAAGGAGAGAAAACCATCAAAATGAAGAGAGCTGCAAATGCACAGGCATTTCCATTTACAAGTAGATTTGGGAAATCAGTGAATCACATGTTTTATTGTGAGATAAACCCCCATCCCTGCTTTCTTCTACTGCCTATGTTTATAGCTGTTCTTTTAGTGGATTTTAATGAAACAAGTTTTGGGATTCTTTATTTTTAAGACAAAAATATCTTAATTGTTTGTGGGATAGGGCCACACTAAAATTACCTTTTTTTTGTTTTGTTTTGAGATGAGTGTACACCTCATTGTTGGTACCTTTGCATGTTATGAAAAACCAACTCTAAACTGGACATTTCACATCCAAGAATCAAATTCATTGTAAGAAGAAATAATTTGGTGTGTGGTTTTGGAAATGAATCATTGTGAACTTTTGAAAATTCCCTGTTTGTACTGCAAGGCCAACTAAAACCATGGAAGTTCTGCAGCTGACTTGATAGGACTCAGGATTTTGCAATCACATGATTCCAAAACTTACTAGAAAACAACTCTCCACCATTCTTCTGGGAGTATATGGTTGGAGGGGATTTATGGGGTTTTTTTTTGTTTGTTTTCAGAAATGAGCTATGATATATGAGACTCCCGATTCCTATCAGTGCTTTCTACCTGGTGTGAACATGAAAGTGCCTGGGAAAGCAGGGTACCCTTTCCAAGCCTTGGAGAGAATCTTTTCATTAGCTGGCTCCTGCCTTATTTTATTTTTTGATAGATAGATTTTTGCCAAATATTTTGTGTTTGAAATCTGTGAAGTAAATGTGTCATTTAAGTGGCAAGTTGTGATTCTTCACTGCTTCTCTTCCAGCTGATGAAAATAAGTAAAAATAGATGCAGAGAGTAATCAATTGCCTGTGGTATTATTTGATTTAAATGTATGTAATTCAGAGTGTTTTAAATTTTTATTTTTTTCATTTTGTGAGATTAAAACCAAATCCAATATTCTTAACATAGACGAGTTTATTCTCTGGATAGTGTTGTTCATAAGATTCTTTCATTACTGAATTCTCTGTATCTTGCTCCTGGATTACACATGCTTCTAAAATTTGGGCAAGGAATAAGCTGCTTTAATCCATACATTTCTATTATTTTCAGACCTTCATTCCAAAGATTGTTGTCCCAGCTTTCAATTAGAGTTACTGTAGGTGATGAACTTGCTGTAAGTAATTTGAAAATGCTTTTCATGGCCTATTTTAAAGGTCTAAAATAAATAAAGTCAAAGGATTTTTTAGTACAACTCTCAGCCATGTGTAGAAAATATGGTTCTTTGTTGTACAGGTGTAGAGATATGCAGGACCTTAAGCTGTACACAGCACCTGTAACGTTCTTCCTCACACACTGCTGGATGTGTGTAAGCTGTGTGTGTCATTGCCATGCTCTCGAATGAATATCTGCAGCAAGAATTCATTAAAATAAACCAAAAGTTTAGAAATTTAACTCCAGAGTAAAATGAAACAATTTTTACGTGGTGTGGAGTTATTTGCCTCTGTCAGTGTGAAGCCATTCCCCCTTGTCCTGTCACTCCAGGCCCTTGACAAGAGTCTCCATCTTCCCTCTGGGCTCCCTTCAGGCACTGCAAGGCCACAATGAGGTCACCCCAAAGCCTTCTCCTCTCCAGGCTGAACAATCCCAGTTCCCTCAGCTTTTCCTCCCAGCAGAGCTGATACATCTCACATCCTAAGAAAAAAAAAAAACAAACAAACACAAACAAATAAAACTCCAAAAACCAAGAAAACAACCCAAACAGAAAAACCAACCAACCAAAAAGCAAACATAAGTGAAAAAAAAAACAAAAACAAAAACAAACCCCCCTGCCCAAAAAAAAAACCCACCAAGAAATTATGTTGATTGTGACAGAAATTTACAATAAAAGGAGTTGTGGCTGGGCTGCACAACCCTCATGTGCCTCTTCACGCTCACTTGTACAGAATTTGGAGTTCTTTAAAATTGGCAGAGCTCAGATTCCAGGGGTTTGGAGGTTTTGTGCATATCAGGTCCATACCTTTGGAAAATACACATTTTAGGAGTCTGTAGTATCTGTGGTCTTAGAAATCTGAATTCAAAGCAGCCTCTTTCTTCTCCTTTCATTTGAAAGTGTTTCAAAATGGGAAGCTGGATTAAAAGTTCCTTATTTTTGGAAAGGTTGTGCCAGTGTTAACACATTATTAATTTAGTTAGTTGCTGAGCTGCCACATTTCTCCAAGTCTCACTTATTCCCAGACTATGGAAAGTGTCACCATAAGCTTTATAAATGTACTTCTTTAATGATAGTTTATTTCAAGCCCATTTTGCTGCAAGGTCTTGGTAGCTGAATTTGGATGTTCTTTTTTAAATTGGCTAATAAATGAGGGCTGACTGACAGCTCTTTAAATTAATTAATTAATTAATCCTATGTGACTTGTATCTTCCTGCTGATTTTTGGAGTGCTAATGTGTATTCTGCAAACCTAGATAGAAAAGCTAACCCTGCTAGGGGAGAGTGGTCTTGAGGTAGTGCATAATTAGGCCAGTAATTTGGAAAACCTGTCTTGGGCTTGAACTTGTTGCATGCGATGCAAACAGGTGCTGACTGTGGCTCTTATGTTTTAAGAATTGTGTGATATTTCTGTACTTGGGGTGGGTTTCATCTCACTTATCTTTAGCTGTCCAAGTCTGAGGCAGTTCCTTTGGTCCCTGTGTAATTAGTGACTAGAGATAGGCACTCTTGGGCTGCATCTCATCTAACCAACTGGAGGAATCTTATTTTAGATTGAGATGAATCACCCTAGAACTGTTTTATTTCATCTAGCCAAATGTAGGAATCTATTCTGGGGAGAGATGAATCACCCTAGAAATGTCTTCCTCCCTCCAAGAGGGACCAGAATGGCTACTTCAGATGTGGACATCATTATTGGTTCAGATTAATCTCCCTTTTTATGGCTGGTGGAGTTTGGCCATAAACCTTTTCTAAAAGCTTGTGCTTGGCTTAGGAATTGAAAACTTTAATGTTGGTAGAGAAAACAGCTCAGAAATGTGGCATGGGATGAGAGAGTATTATTATCAGTAATTGGGAAAATGTGGAGTCTCCCAAGCCTTGTTTCTCAATGCATTGTATGGGATTGACACAGAAACTTTGCTGACACAGGAGCATGGCTGATTTTGTTTGACTTTGTATCACCCCCCAAACAGCAGTTTCGTGCAGGTCCTTGGCAATTGTTCCCTTCTTTGCCAACCCCTTGGGGGCTCTAATTATTGTTTCTTTTCCATGTAGAAAAACACAAGAGTAGAGGATGCTCTTGTTATGAGAAATATATATTGATAACCATCCCTTAAATATTTTGTTTGCCCACTTATGAAATACCCTAAAGTAAGTGTTGAACTAACAGTTTTTTCATTTCAGATACGCTTACTGGGAAGGATCTATTTCCCATATGTGTTTGTACTGTTTGGATGGTCTTTGCTTTTTCACAGAGGGAATGATTCCAGTGGGGGAGTTCCTGTTTTATTCTCATTATTTTCATCTGTCCCAATGTGCATAATATGCTTTAAAAATATTTTTTATTTTTACTATAGATGAGCATATAGGCTTACTGCTGAGAGACAGTCACAGGTTATAATAGACATGTATTTGAGGAACTGTTCACTTGCCATTAAAATCTGGTTATCAGTATTCCAGGGCATTAGCAATGGAATGAACAGTAATAAAATGTCGTTTCTCAGCTGGAATTTTATTTGGCTTGCAAACCAGACTAGTGTAAGTAACAGCCTTTAGGGTGGTAAAACAGAACATCTCTAGTTGACTTAAACTGTTTCTAATAGTTTTAGAATTTGCTAATGATTTTGATTTTATAGAAACATCAACTTGTAATAAAGATTGGTCTTTCTGGATATTATTTCTTGTGAAGCAAGTGTGCTATGAAATTGGGAATTATTTCAGTTTGCTTCATGTGTGTTTAGAATGTGATGTCAGTGGTATGAAAATATTCACAGAAAATGCAAGTCTAAGAAATTCAGCCAGGTAAAAATTGAAGTTTTTCTGATCATCGAAGCCCATCCTGGTTATTTGGGTACATTCTAGACCATTCTCTTTGTGAACCTAAAGAATCTTAAATCCTTTATTCAGCTCTCCCAAAGTGGTGTAGCCAGAGAGGGGAAGAAATCTTTCATCACAGCCTACACAAGGTTGGGACACTCCAGGGAGAGCGTGAGCACTCTGGAATCACCCAGTATCGTAATGATGGCTCTTACAGAGCCCTCAGAGATTATTTTCCATCACCCTTCCTGACTTCTCAAAGCTGCCTTGGCTTTAGGAGCTGTTTCTGCCCACTTCTTTCTCGGTGAGTGATAAGTATTAAAAAGATTTGCTCTCTTCTGTGAAACTCCACGTAATCACTGTTCTGCTATGCTTGGTTGTTCTGAAGGTTTACATTTATTTCTCTGTTTATTTTCTTTTACATTGTTGATTGGGGTTTGGGTTTGGTTCATGGGTTTTCTAAGAATATATATACATATATAAAGAATATAAGCTGCATGCTGAGCATGTCAGGGATCAGTACAGATTTTTAACCTTACATTTTTGTCCAAGATCAGCCACCCATCCTACTGGCATTTAGCTTGTCCCAGGGATAGTGTTAAGGACTGAGTTTATCACCTAATAATTGTAGTATAGCAGTTCTTAATAGGTGGCTGTTACTGGTAATCAGAACATATTTTGTTTTCTCACTTAAGAATAATAAAAACAGGTGTTGTTAGTTAAGGTAGACAAGATAAGTGTAGTATCCAGGAATTGTTGCTTGAGTGTGAGGGGAAAAAACCTAGTTGTTTAATAATATTGAAGGTAAATTGGGAAACCTGTAAAAGAGGCCTTGGATTTTGTTCCTTTTAAGGGAAGTGTTTGGAAAGCAGGCTGGCCATCTGTGTGCAGAGCAGTATTTAGGTCAGTGGGTCTATGCTGTCCTGCTTTGTTCCAGGACGAAAGGATCTGTTGTGCTGAAGGCATTCTGGTCTTGGAGCCATGTATGTAGGTTGCTGTTTAGTAACTATTCTTTTATGAATATTCATCAAGCCTGATTATACTTGAATAGCTTAATCAGGAATTACAGGATGCTGTGACCTGGGCAAATTAAAACTGCTCCTTCTAAATAAACAGTTCCTTTAGATCTGTCAGCATTTTTTGTTTGTTTTGGAATTGTGTTAATAACAGAAATATAAAATGAGACTTTTAGGGAGACTCATCATAAAAATATTTCAGACATCTACCCCTGTCTTGTATAAATACTTACTATATTTATGTCATTTCTTTTCATATATTTTTAACATCCCTAATTTGAATGTGATGTGTATTTGAAATAACTGGATTTTCTCGCTGTCACAGATGTCCGATGTTGTCACTTATTTGTCAAGTATTTGTTGATTCTTTGTTTCCACCTCTTTTTTTGAGACTTCCTGTGTGACTTAATAAGTTAAAGAGCTTTCTAAAATAAAACAGGGGCTGACTTTGTGTTGTCTGATTTGATAGAGAGAGGATTAGTGGAAGACCAGGCAAGCTGTTGTTGGGGTATTAGCCTATTTTCATTTAACTCTCCAGAGCTGTATTCCAACACCAGATGAAAACCTAGAAGGTCATTTTTCTGGTGTGAGATGTGTTTACATCTAAGAGGGAAAAAAATATCCTTTGTATCATTGTTTTTGCACATTTCTACATTTTTGTAAACAGCAGAGATACTAAAAAAAAAGAGAAAGCTCACAATAAATCGTCCAGTTTTTCTTCTTGCTGGATTTTCAAAGTTTTTTTGGTTTTGCTGCCTGCTAGAAGCAGGAGATGCTCACTTCCTTAAATGACAGCTCTTCATCTCTCATTTGTCCTCACTGGCACATGAAGCCTAAAGGAGTTCCTGCATTTCCTGAAGCAGAGTTAATTCTGGCTCTTTGCCTAAACATCAGCTGGGTGATTCTTTGTGGTGGCTGTGTTGAGACAGAAAAACAGTGTAATAGGGATTATGTTCCTTGAGACTGTTCTCCTTTCCCAGTAGGTTGCTAGGATTCCTTTGGCTTGTGACTTCTCTTCTGTCCTTCCCAGAAACAACAGTTTTCCTTAAGAGCAGAATTGTGAAGGGAACTTGACAAGTTTTTGAGCCTCTTCCAACTTCCATGGCAGATGTTCTGTGTAATTGTGGATTTTATGTCAGCAGTATGATTATAGCAAGCTTCCATTTTTTTGATATCCCACTTGATTCAAAAACATAGTTCACAATATATTTTTAATTTTCATTTAGTTTGAGGCACAGTATTTTGATCTACTGACAAATGGCATTTTGCAGCAGGATGTCTGAGGTTGGGGGGGGAATCAAAAAGCAAAGGTTGTGTGAGGGGAGAGCTGTTCTATATTGCAGCACTGTGGGAAGGTGGTGCACTCTTTGCTGGACTTGGCTTTTTGTGTCAGAGGCACAGAAGCCACACAGAGACAACTTTTTGTCCCGGTGAGGATGAGAGTGGATGCAGGGCGATGCAGCTCTTGCTGGACACTGAGCCTTTCTTGTCACTGCCAGATAAGTTCTCCGTGGATGGGAGCCCGTGCGTGGCCTGCGGAGGGCCCAGCCTCATGAATCCGGTCTCCAAGGCTGCCACCACCACTCCTTTCAATGCTGCCGTGCCTGACATTCCAAGGAAACGCAAGGGAAGTGATTCTGATAACCAGTAAGTGAATCAAATCTCTCGGTCCCAGCCTCAATCTGAGACACTCGTCTGTTGTTTGTGCTACACGGTCACTGTCTTTCCTTCTTTTCCTTCCTCCTTCTAAACCTCTTTCTTTTGTTCATTGCCATTACATTTACAATGTCTTCCACATGTGTTCTTTGGCAGTCCCCAATTATTAAAAATAGAAAGAATAATCCTTAAATCCAAGGGATATATGGAGGATTCTGTAATGCCATTTACTGGCTTGAAGTGTCTGAGTAATGTGTCTTTAATGCTGAAATTTCAATCCTAATTTTTAGGGGTTTTTTTTCTCCTTCTTTGCCTACTAGTAAAAGCAAGTTCTTAAGTTGCTTGAAGTTTCCCAGGCACATACTAGAATTTTACCTTCAAGCATGAGACAAGATTGCTGGTTGAATTGTTTCATCTAGAACTGCTGCTTCAGTGACCAGAGCAGCCATTTCCTTAAATGTGGAGACAGACCCATGACCTAAAAATGGGGACTGTCCTCTTGCAGTGCTCGTTCTTTTCAAGTGGGTCATACCTGACTGCTGAGGGGACACTGTCAACTGTTTTATCCTGTTCTGCATCTGCCAAACAGATGTCAGCCAGAAAAGTGATGTGTTCAAAGCTGTGTAAATCAGGCAGAAGGAAGGGACACAAGGTGCAGCTGTAGTGCACTACAGATATCTCCAAACTAGTGCAGAATATCCGTGTTTAAAAACGTGGGGAATAGGAGATTGACGTGTATTTGTGATTATTAAAGCTCTTTAATCACTGCTTCTTCCACAAGTAGTCCACTGATCTGCAGTAGCTGTACTGTGGGTGTTGATGTAATTGCCTACTTGGAGATTCAAGTGTATTGTGTGGATAACTAAAAACTCCAGCAATATGTTCGTTTCTGGGGGAAAAAAACATAGTCTCCATTATTTTTCAGTATCACTTGTTGAATTTTTACCTGTTCAGTAAAAGTGTTGGTTTCTTGGTAATGTTTCCCTGAAGTTTGGATCTCTCTGATAAAAAAAAAATATTGTCCAAGTTGAAAAAATAATTGAAGAAATACTGGCTAATAAGAAGTAGTAATTAGGTTCTAGGACTAATGATCTTGCTGAAAATAACCAATCAAGTGGAGTTACCATTAAAATTTTTCTGTGACTTTGGGTTTTTTTTTGTGTCTGTCAGGTCATCTTGTTGTGCTTCAAACTCCATTTTACTTATTTGTGATCTGTTTCTGCAGGGATACAGCTGAAGTTGATGGTGATCCTCAGAAAAGGTACTTTTTATGAATGAATCCATTTCTGTTTTGACTTCTGTGAACTTGTGACACTTTGCTGTTTGCCTGGATGAGGTGTGGGGTTCCTTGAGGAGTGCTTCAGCCCAGGGAAGGTCTGTGTACCTCACAAGGTGATAAACATTTAGTTAAGGAGCAGGATGGACAGATCCATTCAATGTTAAGGGTTCCTTATAGTTCTTTCTAAGATGATGCTCTTACCAAACTTGTTAGCATTGAAGTTTAGAATGGGAAGGAGTGAAAAGGGCCAGTTCAATAAGAAGACTTAGGGAGGTGAAGGAAATATTCTCATATTCTTCCAGGATTGGTAAATGTAAACATTTTTCTTTGGTTGTTTTAAACTTTTAAGATGCTTTTAAAATTACAACTATAATAACTGTGTTAAAATAATGCTGTTACAAAGTGGCTATGCAGCATGAGCAAACCCTTTGTGATTCCACATGTGTCAGGAGGGTTAGTAATTACATGATTACTTTGTTGCATTTTCTTTTTCTGTATCTGGATACCTTACTTGGGTAATATTGTTTGTAAGTAGCCATGCAGTGTTTTTATAGAATGGACTGTTTCACTTGGAAGGGAGCTACAATGATCATCCAGTCCAACAGCTTGAGCACTTCAGGACTGACCAAATGTTAAGATACATTGTGCAAATGCCTCTTCAACACTGACAGGCCTGGGGCATTGACCACCTCTCCAGGAAGCCTGTTCCAGTGTTTCCCCACCTTCTTGGTACAAAAATGCTTCCATCTAGACCTTCTCTGCACAGCTTTTAAACCATTCCTTTGTATCCTATCCTTGGCTACCTGGGAGAAGAGCTCAGCACCTCTCTGTGCACTTACCCTCCTCAGGAGGCTGCAGAGAGCAGGGAGGTGGCCTCAGCCTCCTTTTCTCCAAACTAGACAAGCCAGGAGTCCCTGGCCACTCCTCACAGGACATTCTTTCTGTCTCTTTCATCAGCTTTGTTGCCTTTCCCTGAATTCGTTCAGGGACCTTCCCATCTTCACCAAACACCGTCTCACATTTTGGGGCCCAGAAGTGCCCACAATATTCAAGTGAAGGCACACCAGTGCTGAGGACAGCAGGACAATCACCTCTTTGCCCATCTGGTGTTTGATGAGCCCAGGATGTGCTTTGCCCTCTGACTGCCTTGAATTGGCCCTGCTGTCAGCCACCACCTCCAGGTCCCTTTCTGCAGGGAAGTCACTCTTTGGTACATAGCTTAAAGGATAGTGTAAAAATCTTTCTTTGGGGTTAAATTGGTCGTTTGTTTATAGATTTTTTCCATGGTGCTCATCATGGAAAGTGTGATTAAAAAACCTCCCTTTCTGCCTTTAAAACATTTGCTTCCATTTTAGAAGAAATGAGGAAGTATATTTAATAAATCAATTGAGAAAGTAGAAAAAAGCTGGTGTTCTTTATTTTTTCTGATTAACACCCATTCTGTCCTTTCTACTTCCAATTAAATATACCGACCTTATAGCCACAAAGTGGAATTTCACCCTCTGTTCATGTAGCCAAGGTGGTTTTAATTTAGCTATTCATATCAGCAACATCACAGCTGTTAGGACAGAGGCTATAAAAATCCATTGAAAGCTGGGACTGATTGCTTGAGCAGCAAATTTGTGCTAGATTTTTTCCCCAAGTGGAGCTCCTGAGAGAGAAGGAAAGTTAATTAATAGGGCACATGCTGCATTGCAGCTGGTCTGGTTCCTCCTTACCTCTTCTCATATGGCCAGAGAATGTAAATTCAGTTTGCATTCACAGTATATGGATATTTCCGGTAAGTTTCTTTTAAAACAGAAGGAAAATATTAGCTATTGCTAACTTGTTTAAATGTGAAACAATTTCAATGAATGAAAGTCTTGGGCTGTTGTGAGCCACACCTCCTCCTGTGTTTGGGTTTGTCAGACTGTCTAGAAGATTGCTAGGTTCCAGTGAAATCCCAGATTCTACATTGTTAATTTGGCTTCTGGATCCTCACTGGGTTCAGTGCTCAGTTTCAGGTGGCAGCAGCTTTTGGCACCTTTCCTGAAGCTGTAATCTCCAAGGATCCTCCTGCTTCCATTTCCTCATGGGAGACACCTGCTGCCTGCTTGGCCTCTCCTCTTGATCCTCATGGTACCAAGCCTATGAATTCTTCACAAAGAGTGGGGAACAGTGCAGTGGTCACAGGGAAAGAAAAGCTCATTGCCCTTGCTTGAATCATCCTTTATAGTTTCCTGTTGCAGTGTTTATTGTGCTGCAGACACTTAGGGCTGTGTTTCATTTACAAGTTTATTACTTTATGACTTCCCAGTCATTGCTGTAGGGTATGGGAAATAGCTTAGGTTTTTTGAGTTTTTTTAAATATAATTTTGGATTGCTTATTTTATAACTTGACAATAAGATATGAGAAATAAAGTCATAAATAGATAATTTGTCCTATAAAACTTCAAACAAAAATAAAATCAAGTCTAGTCTTAAGTTATTTGTGCGTTCCAGTAACGTTGTTGTCTCCAGAATAAAAAAAAGCCCCATACTTATGAACTATGCCTTTAATATGTTCACACAACTGTGAATATTGCCAGTTATGCTCTGGTCTCTTTCTGTTATGCATCACTTGCTAGGTCAGTTATGGTTCAGAGATTTTGTGGGTTTGCTTTTGCTGGAGCCACAGTAAATTTGTAGCATTTTCTGTCTTCTGGAAGAAGTACCTAATATTAATTATGTAATGTAAAATTCTGTATCTTGTTTTTTCTAGGAGTGAAGATGAAGAACATGTTAAAGTAAAAGATTTCAGGTACTAATTTTCTACAGAAATGCATTATGCTAGTGAATACTGAGATTGACAATAGTAAAATATGAGTTTGGGGGTAACATTCATTGAAACTATCAAATATTTAACAGTAAGCTTTTCCTTGCTAAATGTATAGTAATTTTTAAAGCCTCCTTGAGGATTTTTTTTTGCTACTAATTTTGATAAAAGTTGCTGCAAGCTACCTCAGATGGTTTAGCAAGGAAACATGAGGTTGAAGTTTTTAAGGTGAGAATTAAATGCAGTACACCCAAGTCATGCATGAGGAGCTGATCCTTCATGTGTATGAATTTTGGAATTATTTTTTCTAGATTTGTCTGCTTCTGGAGGTATTTAGAATTTATTCCACGTGGAAATGGATTTGGCTAAAGCATGACAGAGATTTCTTGTTCCAGAACAAGCTTTTGTGTAGGGAATTATTCAAGTTTTGCCGTTGAAATTTGAATTCACATAAATTGAAATTCACTTAGAGCGCTTGCAAGATTTGAAATATTGTGTGACCACAATTCAGCCAAACAAATATTTTAAACTACTGACAAACCACGTAGTAAAACCAGAGCTGTGCTGTAAAGTCCATTTAAAAATAAGTCTTTCATTTAAAAATAAGTCTTCATTTTTCCTATGAGCAGAGATGTCAAACCAGAAATACATAGTCCACTCAGCATGCTGTCAGAAGTATTATTTATATAGTATGCTAACTACTAATTATGAAGTGTTCCTGTAATTGAAAAAAATTAAAGAAACTAAAATGTTCCAAGATATATTTACAGTTTCAATTCAAAATTATTTTTTCTTCACAGAGTGTCCCAGATTGCTCTATAAGATTGTTGTCAATTGCTTTAATAGCTTTAATGTGGTATTGTTAACCTTTTTCCTTACTTTTTGGTGCATTAATTGGAGGGAAAAAGAATCAGTACAAAGGTATCTGGAGGTTTGCTTATCCGTTATCTCCTTATCAGTATGATTTGTCTCAAGATTATCGTGGAACCTGCTTTTCTCCCTCTGCCTTTATGGCTGTGGCAAGCAACAGAAAGCTTTTTCAATCATTTAGTCATCCCCTGAATTTCTGCACCCATCTGTTCAGTTTTTTACAATTCCTTATTGACCTTCAGAGATGTGGAAGGTTGTTCCCTTTCCTGGAATGCATGTATCTGTCTTCCTGAGGTTCACAGTTCAAGGAAAATAAAAGGATATTACTTGATTGTTTTTACCTAACATAAAGGAAGAGTTGGGTGAAACCACAGATGTGAGCACAACTCAAAATAATAAATCTATAAAAAGGCTTTTGAGAGAAAAATGCTGAATGCTTGGCAGAATGACCCAGAATTAGTTGTGTGATGAAGGCTTTTTCTTTTTTTTTATATTAGAATAGTATTCAGGTAGATCTTTAAAACTGTACTTTGTTCTTTCTCAACAGGCCAGCTGTAGTTAATTTTATTACCTTTAATAGCTTCTGTTGCAGTATGCCTACAAGGAAAAGTTTTGGAGATCAATCAACCAAAACCTATTCCTCATTTTGCATAACTATACTACTGTGTCTGGCCTTAATCAGAAAGAAAAATCATCTGGGTTTTAATTGAGTGGCTGGCTTGTCTTCTGGGTAAGGAGGAAGAGAGTGAATGAAACTTTCCTTGATGCGCTGGAGGGTTTTAGAGGGGAGGAGATGGCCCGAAAAGCTGACATAGTGCACTAGAAAGAAGTAAAGAAAAGGTGACCTGAGCTCTAAATGCGCTTGTGATGTGCAGCCATGTGCCCTAGAAGGAGTTTCCTGATGAAAACTGGCTGAGAAGAGAAGCTCTTTGTGTGGCTGAGTTCTTGACAGGCTTACCAAGAGATCAAACCTGAGACAGCCTTTGTACCACCTTATCAGGAAAGGGAAAGTTTTCTGAGATACTTCTGGTAAATTACACGAGGCACACCTTTTTTTTTTTTTTCCAGTTTCCTCTCCATCTCTTAGAAGCATGTGGAAAAGTAATGTTTATTGTTGTGGGGTTTCTTAAAAGGCAGCAGAATGAACACCCCATCTTAGTTACACAGGCCAGGCAGAGGTGGGAGCAGGAATGTTTTTCATTGATTCCCAATGACATCAAGAGTTCTCTGGGATACACTGAGGTTTCCAAGTCATCACTTGCATGCAAGGGTCACAAGAAGGGTTTATCTTTTAGAAATCTTCATAACCTCTTGTTCCTGCCAAGTATAATCATATTGTTCCTCGAGATATCTCTTCTCCTCAGTATTTCACGTCAATATTGGGACCATTTTGTCTTTGTTGAAGTGAATCCAATTCAATTGTCCAATACAAGTAGCATATGAAAAACTGATTCAGTGCAGTAGTGCTGGTGATAGTTCCATTCCAAAAATGGAATTTAATATTATGGGGAAAATCATGTGTTCTACATCACTCTTTAAAAATAATTTTTCTTCTTAGAGAGGCTCATAGTCAAACAGAGAAAAGAAGAAGAGACAAAATGAATAATTTGATAGAGGAATTGTCTGCCATGATACCACAGTGCAATCCCATGGCCCGAAAGCTGGACAAACTCACAGTGCTACGGATGGCTGTGCAGCATTTAAAGTCTTTAAAAGGTCAGTTTAGGAAACATCATCCTATAAATCTTTGTTCTAGTAGGAGTTATTGTGTGTATCTTCTCAGATTTTGAATAAATCAAGAGTATTTGATTTTACATTTCCTTACTGTATTTGGTTCCAAGTCTGTTCCTCATTTAAATGTACGTGTCTGTAGCTGTCAGAACTTAATTTTAAATTTTAGCTTAATATAGCAGGAAAAAAGCCACCCTTCAATGTCTGTTATTTTCTGTCTGCTCAGGGCATGCCTTACTCTTGGCTCACGCCTTGATTCTTTTTAGAAAGTACAGGAGTCAAAAGGAAAGTTGCAAGACAGAACATAGTTTAACAAAATGATCAATGAGTTTGATTACATTAAAGTCTTAAAAACCCTCGCGTGCTAGAGAGTAGTAAGAAACAGAAACTTCTCATAGCCCAGTCATCTGGCAAAGTTAATAATGGATCTTAGGGAATGCTTAATGTGGGGATCAACCCAGGAAATATTTTTGCTCTCCTTTTGCTATTGCTAGGTTTTGGGATTTTTTTTCCTTCCCCCCTGCAAAAAATATATCCAAATACAAATTGCATATTGCAGAGTTTATCAGCTGCACACAATATTGGTTTTGGCACCACTGTTTCAGAATAATAATTTGGTCAACTCTAAGAAAAGATCAAAGACCCTCTGCATTGCAAAACCCACTGATTATGAATAAACAGGTCTAATAAGAACCCAGTTAGTTTTGGGTCAAAGAATTATAGAAAATTAGGTTGCTGCCTCGACAGTAATAGAATCATGGAAATAGCTCAGGTATAAAGGGTTTTGAGGGTTTTCTGAAGGGTTGAGAGTTCTGCATGAAGAAATAATGTGAAGCAGCAGGAAATAATGTAAACCAGCAGGACAGTAACTGCACTTGCAGTTTAAACAAGAAATCTTCTGCTCAAGCATTTGTATTTAACAACAGGATGTGAAAGCTGGACTTCACCCAGCACAATTGTATTTACCTCAAAACAAATGGTTGAAGAGAGTACAATATACTATGTGGAGTTATAGTGCATAATCAAATTGGCTGAAATGTTGGGCTGTTACAAAAAATGCAACAAGAAAAAGAAAATCTAATGGATAAAAGTGTAATGAACAAAAATTATTTTATAGAGTACTTGCCATGGGTGCTAGAACAGTACATGCAGTGAGTCAGTCTCACTATATTTAGTGAGACATTTGATTTAACTACAAGAGTCTGTTTTTTTGATTGTTGGCTTTATAGTATTAATGAAGCATTATTAATGCCAAAAGATAATAATAATAATAATATTGATAATGTTGGAATTATTCTGTTTCAGCAAAGAGAATTTAGTTAAGAAGTCTGAAATATACCTATGAAATGTTTGTAGAAAATTCAGTTCTCATATTACCATATCTCTAGCATAATGATATCTGAACAGAAGTTTCCTTGGTTTGTGTTAATAAAGAGCAAGGAAAGAAATGATTGTGTGTCTGTTTTCATTACCAGTTATGTTTGAGATTTGTTTTAATTTTATTTTTAGAATTTCTAGAACCTTGAATTATTTTTTTAATTCAGCTGTTGGGGTCATAGAGAAAAATTCTGAAAGACATAACAAGTATAGCTCCACTAAAAGTGAATTTAAAATGTAACTTTTGGCATGATCTCTGTGACTCATCCATTTTCCAGGTTCCAGTAGCTCCTACTCAGAAGTCCGGTATAAACCTTCATTTTTGAAGGATGATGAACTGCGACAGTTGATCCTTAGGGTAAGTGGAAGGAAACTCTCAGGTAAATCATGTCCTTGTTAAAGTCTGAGTTTTTAGTTGGACAGTGCTTTTTCTCCCATCTTTTCCTTCAGGCAAGTGTTTTGTTGTACTGCTTTCTAAACTGTGTGCACAACCCAGGCTTTCATGAAGGTGTGCAGAGATGGTTTGGGAGCATGACAGGCAGCAGCCCTGGAAGGGACAATAATCTATGTGCAGTCCGCCTGTTTAATATATCCATTCTTAAAATGTTCGTGCAACTGCAGAGAATGCTGCCAATTATGCAGGAACATCCTCACAGTTGTTGGCTCTCCTTCATGTACATTTTTAAAGATGTACTTTGAAAAAGGTGCAGAAAATACCTGGAATAAAATCTTCCCTCTTGTTTGAACATTTCATCATAAACCCACACACCTCATTTACAGTTAACGTTTGTGATTTTTTTTCCTTTGCTGCAATAATGCTTTGCCAAGATCTGTGAATGGCTCCCAAAAGAAGCTAGTTTTGTAGCTAGACTTTTGCCAAATTTGTATATTGCCAAAGATGTGAGTGCTTAAGAAACTTTAGCTGTGGTTGAAGGCTTCATTTGGTCCTTGCAATCTTAATCGCTTTTTTTATAGAATCACAGAATGGCTTGAGTTGGAAGGGACATTAAAGTTCATCCTATTCCACGCCCTGCCATGGGCAGGGACACCTCCCACTGTCCCGGGTTGCTCAGAGCCCCATCCAGCCTGTCCTTGGACATTTCCAGGGATGGGGCAGCCACAGCTGCTCTGGGCAACCTGTGCCAGGGCCTCACCACCCTCACAGGGAAGAATTTCTTCCTCATATCCAATCCAAACACACCTCTGTCAGTGTGAAGCCATTTCCTCTTGTCCCTCTCCAGCTTTCATTTATTTAATTTTAAAAATCAGGTTTAAAAGTGTGCTTCCTTGTAGTCATTAATATTCATTGTTTATTTTAATTCTGTGTTTTTAAAGACAGTGTATTTATATTTTCAGGCTGCAGATGGATTCCTGTTTGTGGTTGGATGCAACAGAGGAAAAATTCTGTTTGTCTCTGAATCAGTTTGCAAAATACTTAATTATGATCAGGTGGTTATTGTTGTTTCTTACTTGCTTTTACCTTTCATTTTCTTAGGAATTTTAAAACTTTTATAATTTATTCTATATTGCAATACTTATATATAATTTCTTGGAATTTCTTTGATTTAACCTTATTTGGAGTAAAGCTGAACATCCTTTAAGAAAATATGTGCAAGATCATCACTGTTCCCAACCTGGAGGAACAGCACGAGATTTCAGCTGATCATCCTTAAGAAAACTGCCAGTGTGAGAGGAAGGGAGAATTTGAAGATGTCCTAATTTCTGTGTGCAAGTCCTAATTTCTCTCACATAGTGAAGTGGTTTTGGTTTTTGGTTTGTTTTTTTTTTTTAGGCCAAGGAAAATGGGTAGTTTAGCAGTGGAAGTTAATGAAAGCTTTCCTTGCTGATGCCTTTATGCTTGGATGCGCCACGTAACACATCGTGCACAAAAACTGTCCCAGTGTGTACCTTAACCTGAAAGAGACTGAATGGGAGCCAGCTTAGCCTGTAGAACATGGGAAATTGGGAAAATAGAAGCACCTTCCATTAGTTGGTGTTTAACATGATGGGCAATTACCACAAATAATCAAGGGATGATAATTTCTTCTTGCATCAATGACTTCTGTTTCACAAACAGAGGCTAAAACAGTTAGTGCTGCCATCTGTCTACTTTTGTAACTTTGAAACCATTTGCGCTATCTTAGTTTTCTTTATAAATGTACAGATAACCAATCTGGACTCTTTCATAGATTTATTTATATCTTTTTTTTTTTTTTAAATATATATCTTTTTAAATATACTATCTTTTTAAATTGAAGTTAAATGAATCATCCTAGGGGAGTTAGCATAAAGCAGAGTTGTTTGGTTTTTTTTAACTTCTACACAGATTTGTTCAAGAACTGAGAGTGCCTTTCTGGAGTCACTCATGTTAGACATACCTACTTCCAGACCCTTAAGCTCTCCTTTATTCCAGACAAGGAGATTCAGAGGACATGGCTGGTTTTAATAATACATATGGATTTGTTAGCTGGTTTGGGAGTTGTTCTAGGTTCTGAATCCCATGCTGCAGCTTTATCTGGTTTGTTACACCTGTATATTTTGGCAAGGCTGCTGTTAGGCTGTCTCAGCAGCACTCAGCATTTTCCCATTGCATTAGGATTAAACGAGGACTGGGAAAAGGCAGGACACTGGCTGTTTACCCTGAGTTTGAGTCTAGAGTAGATCTTGTCAACACAGCTCCTTTTTATCCTTTGATTTGTTTGCTGTGCTGAAGGTAAGCAGTGGAAAACCCAAACCAGCCCACTTCTGTGAGAATTCCCTCCTGTTCCAAAAGAAAGTGGTGCAGCAGGTCAGTTACTTGGGATGAACAGAGTGAGCAGGTAGGAGGCATCCCAGCTGGAGACATCCCTGTACATATCCTCTGCTAAGGAGTGCTGTGGTGAGCTGAGCCCTGCTTCCAGCTTGCTCCTGGCTCAGTGGTGCCAGTTTGTCCAACCAAATTAGAGCTCAGAGTCATTAGATAGTTAAATATTTATTCCTCCTTCCTATTTCTTCCCTCCTTCCCCAGTAACTAAATCTGCTGCTTTTCACAGGGAAGTAACAAACAATGTTTTTGCTATCCTTTTAAATAAAAATTATATTAAACAATGACAAATTAATTGTAAAACAAAATATTGATGTTTGAAGTAACTGTGATATTGACTGTTTTTTTAGTGGTGTAGACAGTTGTTTTCCTGAGATAAGTAATGTGTGGGGTCCTGTTCCAAAATGGTGTGGTTCTCATCTCTTTTGTGTTTTGTTGTTTTTTGGGTTTTTTAATAGGCCAGTTTAATTGGACAAAGTTTATTTGATTACTTACATCCAAAAGATGTTGCAAAAGTTAAGGAGCAACTTTCTTCATCGGACGTCTCGCCTAGGGAGAAGCTCGTAGATGGCAAAAGTAAGTGAGAGTTGACGTGCTCAGATTTTTTCAAGAGATGTTAATCAATCTGATTACTAGTCAGGATGTATTCAGGTGGTTGTATGGATGTGTGGATGAACAAACGTGAGGTGTTTCTATGAAACAAACATTTGAATGCGTATCTGCTGCTTAAAATGCATTTAGATTGAAAAGCTAGCCCAGAAGGGACTTGATTTTAGATCATAAGAGTTACTGAAATTCTGTTAAATTGCTGAAATCACTGTTAAGCATTTACCAAGATGTAGTCTGACATTCTTCCTACCAGCATACTACTTTTTTTTCTTGTATTTGCTAGGTCTTGTCAATACAAAAGACCTGATGTAGTCGAACATGGGATAAAATACTTCAATACCAAGAATCACTGTCTTCTCTGAAAATGCTAAGTGTCAATCCCAATGTAACCAAACCTTCTTTAGTTTACAGTTGTTTCTAATAAGGAAAGCATTGTGTACTATGCAGCTAATGCCTGTTTTGTGTACTATGCAGCTAATGCCTGTTTTATAGCTGGCTTTTACAAGCATCTTTGCAGTTCTTCCTTGTACCAAATACAGGGCGAAAGTTTATAAAGCATCTGTAGTAAAATTCTATTAAGAATATCAAGAAGGCTTTAAAAATAATTTAGTAGTTCTTTCTAATTTTGGAATCTGTGTCAATCGTGTTTTCGTTGCTCTGTTTAAACTATTAGACTTTTTTAAATGTAAGTACAAAATTTAGGCAGCTAAACAGTAAGGACGATGTACTGGGAGGTAAATGCAGAAAGCATCTGGTTTTCTGAAGTTTTATTGCTTGGTTTTGGTTGTTTTTAACTACTTTACTAAATCTTTGTAAGCTGGCTTGCAAGTACACACAGATTTCCAAGCTGGACCAGCTCGGCTGAACTCTGGTGCTCGACGTTCCTTCTTCTGTCGCATAAAGTGTAGCAGGACCACAGTCAAAGAGGAGGAGTGTTTGCCCAACCCAAAGAAGAAAGGTATTCAGAGAGTGGAGATGAAGTGGGGGCTTTGTCTCTTGAAACTCGTTCAAATTCCGTGTCACTAATGACTTCCTGATTCCTACTGATCTCAGCAAGTAGCTGTAGAGCAGTGTAAATGTGAGCCAGGGACACCTTTTGAAAAACAGTCTCATTGTTCTCTTTCTTCTCCCGGTCCCCTCCTGGAAAGAGGGAGGGAGGAACTTGAGGTATAGTGGCTCTGTAGGAGCATGTGGTCTGTTGTGGTCGAATTTGAGAAGTCTCAGGGAAATATTTGAAAGAACTGGAGCAGATCAGAAGAATGAAACTAAATAACTTATGTCTTGAAGATAACTGAGTGAATAAAACCTGCAAACTCTACTATTTTGAAGGGAAGAAAGCAAGTAAACCAACTTCTTTTTCTGATTTACTTTTTTGTGTTGTGCATATTTAAAAGTATGAATTTTCCTTTTTTTTTTCCCCTTTTCATGGTAAAGTTAATTTATTGGTGTAATTCCATTAATTTTCCCAGTAATTTTACTTTAGTTCATATTTTGATGTGCCCATAGAGCAGTATAATCTTGTCAAGTTTCCAGTGAAAATTTACATTTCAATTTTAAAATGCATTTTCCAGCTTTTGTTTTAATAACTTAGTATTGATTTTTGCAAAGGTGTGCTGAAATTGTTTGATCCCGAAAAAATCATCCAAGTTCTGTTTTTCAATGTAACCTGTTACTGTTGAGATACACCACAAATTTTAAGAGGCACGTGATTGTAAGTAAATAGAATTTGATATCCCTTGATGTGTCAGCTAACTCAGTGAGATAAGAATTTATCTTTTGTAAGTGTTTCTTGGGAAAGCAGTTTTGAGAGAAGGCACCTGAGCAACTGTGACAAAATCATGGTCGGATAACTCAGTTTCTTATTTTGCAGAGTTGATCTGTGTTTTTTGTAATAGAGAGGAAAATCCAAGCTGTGGAAAGCATCCTGTTTGGCATAGAGATGTCAAGAATGCTTTGGCATTTTTTTGGAAAGACAGCTGCTGTAATGTCAAACCTTGATGCTTATGAGGGCGTTTGCTTGTTATTTAGAGAGCAAAAAGGGATGAATGACAGTGTGTGCTGGAATTTAAGATAGTTCAAATATTTGTATTCCCATAAAATGTCAGAAACCTGAGATAAATAGAAAATAAGCTGATTCTTTCAACAACTGCAGTGAGCATATGTTCAGATCATTGTGCTCACCAAAGATAAATTGATTTGGAAGCTACAGAGGGTCTCAGGTTAATTGTAATTCACAATTCATATAAAACCATGTAAAACCAGAGTGATCTGTGGGTTATTGCTTTGTCTTTTTTCTAACTTGTGTTTGAACTGCCAACAGCCATAACTCATCTTCCTAAATCTTAAATAGGGTTACAAGCTCTCTCTGCAGGTAAGCCCAAACTGAATAGAACAAAATTAATTGAAAAATACTATGTAAAATGATCTATAGCTGTGTACAGTTAGTGTAGGTAAGCATGAAATGTAGTTGCTGGTCTCACAGCCAACAGAATAAAATAAGTGGTTTACTCTTTGAACAATAACTTATTTAATTTCTTTCTATTAGATCACAGAAAATACTGCACCATTCACTGTACTGGGTATTTGAAGAACTGGCCTCCTAATGAGGTGGGAGTAGAAGAGGAAAATGATGTAGAAAAGGACAGTAGTAACTTTAACTGTCTTGTTGCAATTGGGAGGTTACACCCTTATATTGTTCCACAAAAGAGTGGAGAGATAAAAGTCAAAGCAACAGAATTTGTTACACGATTTGCCATGGATGGAAAATTTGTTTATGTAGATCAGCGGTAAGCGTTTTGTTCTTTAATGAAGATAAATGACACAACTGCTTCATTTTTCTGATCCTCTGTCAAAACTGTGATTTCTCCAGCAGGGTAGAAGTTCTAATTAGAATTCTCAATTTTTGAGAATTTTTGAGAATTCTCAAAAATTCCAATTTTTGGAATGTTTTTCAGCTCTACACAAGAAGCAGTTAGTTCTTAAACTATGTGTACTTAGGCTATTTGTCAAATAATACCTAATGTATAGAAGTGTATTGTCCTATAGAAAATGGATTCATTTATTCATAAAGAAAAATCTCAAGTTAGAGCTTCATAGCTCTGGACATGACTGAAGTAATAAACATTTAACCAAAAGTTATTACTTCTGAGAGTCTTACCATTTGTAACAAATATATTCTATATAAATAAGGCACCAAATTATTTTACTGGACGTGAGAACTAAGTTCCAAATTTCTGTACTTTCTGAACCAGACTTTTATTTGTTGCAGAGACCTAGTTACCACTTTGCATTTGGAATGTAATTGTTGCTGGAAATGTTACTGCTTTCAGTCTCCTTTTCTTTCTACTAAAAGTGTCAGTTTGAAACTAATCCCTTTGAGTGGAAGAGCAAAATTCAGCTGCTGAGTTTTTTATTGACTCTTATGTGTCACCAGTATTGTGACTGGCAAAGGGAAGCCACTAAACAGAAGTATTTTGTGTGTACATGTGGTTTGCGTGTTTAAACTTTTACTTTACCTTCCAATTGTCATTCATTGCAAAGGGACCATTTGCCCTTAAAAAATATTTCCTGCTGTTTTAGAGCTGTACTAATGCTATATTTTTTCCCCAAACATGATCACGGGCATCTGTTTGTTTAAATATTAATGTTCTGCTTTATCTGATACTGAAGAAAGCAGCTTTGAGTCCGCTGTAGTTCACGTTTTTATTTCTAACAGCGCAACAGCAATTTTAGGGTATCTGCCACAAGAACTTCTAGGAACTTCTTGTTATGAGTACTGCCATCAAGATGATCACAATCACCTAGCTGAAAAACACAAAGAAGGTACAAAATAATTGGTCTTCCCATAGTACTTACAGCTATGTGTAACTGCAAGTGAAAAGGCTGCAAACCCAAACTACCCAACCTCAGCACTGCCCTTTGTGATGTCTGTGTTAAGACAAGCCTGCGTAAAGCTTCTAATAAAAGCAGGGAGAAACTTGTGTTGTCTTGGCTCCTGGTGCAGGGCCTTAATTGTGGGGCAATAATGTCAGCACATGTGTCAAACCCTCTGCTTCCACTGGAAGAGGAGGAATCCTGAAGAGCAGATGTGTTTGATAACATAATTAAAGACACAAGTTAAAGCTCACCAAGTCATGAGTCTCTTAGTGTTTTGCAGGAACTTAGTATTTGCTTTTTAATGTAAGATTTATGACCCTGCTGAAACTGTATAATTTGATTTTAGAACAGGTCCTAGTTTGTTCTGGCATGTTTATTCTGTGTCTGGTGAACAGAAACATTTTGGTTTTATGATGCTATAAAATAGATTTATTATTTCTACCTTTACCTTTCTAAGCCTAAATATGGCGATTATAACTTTCCTTTTTTTTATCTAGTGTTGCAGAATAAAGAAAAAGTATTTACAAATTCCTACAAATTTAGAGCAAAAGATGGGACTTTCGTTACTTTAAAGAGTCAGTGGTTTAGTTTCATGAATCCTTGGACCAAAGAGCTGGAGTACATTGTATCAAACAACACTGTGGTATTGTAAGTAATTTATATGACTCTCCATTTATTTTTTGTCATAATTACAGTTAGCACTAAAATGACCTGCTTAGAAAGCAGAACGAGACTAGAAAACATTAACCTTGCACAAAAAGGGGCTGAACAACCTGGACAAACATCTTTTTGGCATTTACCAGCTATTTTTGCTTCAGGCCTAAGTTGTGGATTTGACTCTGAAAACTATGCTGTTTCCCAGTAGGAAAAAATGAGGTGAAGGAGTTTCTTGTTAAAGAAAGAAGGGAAGGATCTTTAAGAAAAGTAGATATGAATAAATGGAACTGTTAAGTTAATGCTGCTTTTCCTTCTGGTCTTTACAACCCTGTGTGTGTCAGTTGACCCAATTCCAAGTGCTGCCCTACCCCCAGGTGTCAGAAGGTGGAGAAGCACAATTGATAGATGGTGGAAATGCAAGGCAGGACAGAAAGATCCTCTCCAAATTGATTGCAAGGGTGGAGAACAACATATGCTTGTGTTTAATTATTTTTATTTGTAGTTCTTTTTCATTCCCTGCACCTTGCAATGGAGCTGTAATTGGGGTTGTTCCAGCTGCTGAGGATCTTTGCCAATGATTGGGGTTTTGAGTGGGGACAGAGGGGATTTTATTTCCCTTAAATTAAGTTGTTGAGGGGGCCTTTTTCCCATTCTGTATCTGGTTCATGCCTTAAGTCAACATCACCCACCTCTTTTGCCCATGTCTTTTTTTCCCCAAGAAAACAGAGGAGAGCAGTTCAGACAGTCTGTGCTGGCCAGTAGCCCAAGGACATTTTTTTGCTTGCCCTGGAAATGTGGGCATTTGCAACTGTCTGCCGAAAGGAGGGAGGGCAGCCACTGACCTGTCCTTGTTCCTGGTTACCTGATTTCCCTCCTAACACTAAAAATAATAGTCCTATTTCCTTGTCAGGGAACACAGACAATCCTACTGCCTTTCCTTTCCACTTGGAGAGTAAGAGGAAATTAGTATTTCACCCACTGCCCAGAACCATTACAAAGAATTGAACATGGAAATATGTGAGGAATATCTTATGTTTTCCTTTTTGAGGGTGTTAGCTTTGGTTCTGTGCAAAGTATTATTGGAATTAAACATAAATATGTGCTGGATTTTGCTCTTGGGAAAAAAAACATGCTAACTTTCTGTGGTTTGTTTGGGATTTTTTTATTTTCTTTAAATCTTAGAGGTCATAAGGAATCAACTGAAGAAGAAGTCCTCTACAGTTCCCAACCTGCAGAAGGCAAGTGTCACATCTTACAGTTATCACAGCTGCATCTCCTGATCAGTCAGTTTAAATTTATCCAGTCCAGGGATTTTTTTTTATTCTAGGTTGTGTGCAATGAAGGATTAATTTTTTTTAAAGCTACTTATTTTTCAGTGTCTAGTTACTTACAGAGTCCTAATTGATATAATTCACAGAACTATAAAAAGAAGTGCATATAACCTACTTTTAATTTCCAGCAGCTTCTGTTAGAGCTGGGGATTTGCTTAGTAGGATATTGTACTTCGGTCACAGACCCTTCATATTTTGCCCAGTTTTCTGAACAGATGCAACTGTGCTGAGTTTATCTATAAAATACAGGGCAATACTGATACAGAACATATTTTGTTATTATTTTTCTGCTATGCAAAGTTTCTACTTTATGCATGCCGTTCTACCATCCTGCTGTCAAGGCTTTATATTTGCTTTTCAAAATGTTCTTTCAATAACTGATTTCAGTTGGTGAGAAATCCAAGGGTTTTTTTTTAAATCATGTTTTTTGCAATGTCTGTGTGAGACACTGAAGGTGGCAATGATTAAATATATTTCACTACTGGAGAACAACAATTTTCACAGATTATTCACTTTATATTGCAACACCCTCTGCCATGAATCAGTATTTAAAGGAATATAATTTCTGAATGTATATATTAAAATATATACTTGTATATGTATATTTAGAACAAAAGCTGCTTTAAAATGAATTATTGCTCTGCAATGAAAGTGCTCTGTTTTAAGGTTTTGTTTGGCCTTTGGGTTTTTTTATCTACAGATGCTGTAAAACAGTCTTTGGTAACTGTACCTGGAATGTCCTCTGGAACAGTTCTTGGTGCTGGAAGTATAGGAACTGAAATTGCAAATGAAATATTAGAATTACAAAGGTAATAAATGCATAACACCATCATTAGGCTTTTCAGTAAAGATAGCCATGAGGGATGTATGATTATGTGAGGGTTGCTCCAGTTTCACTTTTATTGTATTGTATGTGTAACATTTTTTAGGTTGAGCAATAGCATTATGAGATACCATTATAATTATGTCAGTCTCATGCCTGGCAGAGCACATCACTCTTCTGGTGATTCAACAGAGGAAGAAAACTGTGCTCAAGGAATAGTATTGTAACCCATGGCCTTTTCTGATCTCTTCTCTGTTTTCTGCTACCAGAACTTGGAGCATGATAATTTAGAATCTTCAGGAGAACTTACGACATTATTGTTGCAAATGATCATATTCATGCTTTGTCACTGGGGAGGTCTGGTGGGTTCTGCACCACACAGTTTGTTTTTCAGTCTTTGATTAATGTGACCTGGTAAATCAACTAAACACATGCAATTTTAGGTTGCATTCTTCACCCTCTGGAGAGTTAAGTCCATCACATCTCCTCAGAAAGTCGCCTTCTCCAGCTTTAACTATAAACTGCAGTGATGTGAGTACACCCCTACCTGTAAAAATCCAAAATGAAAAAGCTAATGTCAGCTCAAAACCTGTGTTTGAGTCAGAGTGCCCTGATTTGTTTTTGTGAGAGAATGTGTACTTTTAATCTTAATGGTTTTGAAGATAGTTTTTTAAAAATCTGTGCTGTTTTGAAATGTTTAAAATTGTGACTTTGAAGGTATTTCATTACTCTTCTAAAAATGGGTAGTTATGCTAATCTAGTGGTGCTTGTAAATCTACTAGTGCTTGTAACGCCACAAACTATAACTAACAAAGTTAGTTATATAAATAACATAGTTATTGCCCATAGCTATGAAATAATTAACCTATCTTCTTACCTAAATATGTTGTATGTTTTGTACTGGACATGGCATGAACAAACTTCTCCAACAGCTCTTCGAAATGCAAATTTCTTTCCTGTTAAAAACAGTTGATCTTTCCACTGCAATTCTCATTTCTTATGAAAAAAACCCCACTATTCTGGTCTAGGAGCTGCTGTGACTGCCCCCTTTTTTTTATGATCAGTTCTCCCCTGTGTTACCACAGATCTTTCTCCTGAAAAGTTGTTTGACTAACATATGCTGAACTCTCTAAATCATGCAATGTCTTATCATAAGGATAATTTCATCATATTCATTGAGGATTTTTCTTGATTCTGGGCTTCGGTATCCCATTTGTTCCTAAAATAACTTTTGGAAAGCACTTCACCTTTATTAATTTCCTGGTAGAATATACACAAGTCAGGCAATCCTAGGAATCTCTCCTGCTAAATTACATGTATGTGTTAAATAAAACAAGCATCGGGAAAAAAATTATCTTTTTTTTTGGGTTAGCATGACTTCCATCTCTGTTGCCATGATGAAAATAGTTTAATGCATTTAGAACCTAGGAGGTATGAGGGCTTTTTTAATCTCTTAACTGGAATGTTTTGACAGTGACAAACATCAGGGCACTGGGAATTTGTAGTTTATGGTAGTAGATGTGGAAAGTGCAAACCAGTACATTTGGTGCTGGATTTATTTACCAAACACTGAGTTAGACCCTCAAGCAGTGCCATCACTGTGAAGCAGCTTTGACAGCTCTCTAAGTCACAACTTTCCTTTCAGCCAGGTCCAGTGCTATAGGAACTTCTAAAATGTTCATTTCTAAATGCAAAATATCTGCCTGATGAGGTGTATTTTTCACTTTATTCAGTTCTTAATAATTTGACAGCAGTCTGTGATGTCTCTGTAATGTAATATTTAGGACTGAATTTAGGATCTAATTCTGTCCTTTCTACCAATTCTGCTCTTTCAGGTGCCAAATAAAGAGTTGATTCAGTTATGTCCTTCAGAACCAGAAGCTCTGGAGAATTCAGAACAAACGCAGGGTGCTATTCCATTTCCCAGTAATGAACCTCTCCTCAGTAAGATTTATTTCTCTTGGGGATACTCTGGGGTTGCAGGGGCTGACATTTCTGATCACTGGTGTCATTTCGGAGAGCACCACTTTACAAGCATGTATAAAGTGTAAAGAGATTTGGCTGGCTGGCTGAAGATGAGAGCACTCTGAAAGCAGATGTGTTACTGTTGCAAGGCAAACAGCAAAATTTGATCACTGAGGCAATCTCATGACAGACAACATCTGTATCTAAAGTTTACCATTGCATTCTTACACTTTTCGTGAGGCACTTTACTGTTCTCTCTCCAGGACAGAGATGGGGAGGGAAAAGTATTTCAGTGCAATGTCAGGGAACTTCTTGGAATTTGTGAATTACTGCCCTTTAGCACTTTACCTCTTTCTAAGCTGCAAACTGGGGGTAGTTTATACAAAGGATTGCTCCAGATGGTTCAGAAAGAATTTTTTTTATCTTCCTCTTGTTAAGTTTGTCTGGATACAGGATTCTCTGGTCCTGGAAGAGGAAAATGCCACTGCATTATGTTTGACATAAAAGGCAAAATGCTGTAAGAGCTGTGTTTATGCTGATCCTGTATTTCAGCTTTTAGAAACTTTTCCATCTTCCTCTTCTCCATCATCTGCCAGAGATTTATTTGTTTATTTAGAACCTACAGCTTTCTTCTGGTTGATCTGTGAGCCCTTTCAGAAAAGTTTAAAACCCCAAACCAACCAACCAAAAAAGAAAAACGCCAAAAAAGAAACACAAAGGAAAAAAAGCTAATTCTTTAATAAGAGTTTGGGAAAAAGGGATTAAAAGCAACCCCAACAACACAGAACAAGGAGTTTTAAACTAAAAGGGAGTCAAGTTAGGGTTTTTTGTAACACAGAAATATTGGCCTTGAATTCAAAGGCAGGTTCTGCTTCAGACCAATTCTATTTTGCAAGTTACCATGTTCTGCCTGCTTCACAGTGTTCGTGCCTGCCTCAAGCTCCCTGTTTTAATCACTGTGTAGGTGGCAATTCTCAGCTGGACTTCGATGCCATCTGTGAGAACGACGACACGGCGATGACGGCGCTGATGAATTACCTGGAGGCTGACGGGGGCCTGGGGGACCCAGCTGACCTCAGTGATATCCCGTGGGCTCTCTAGAGCTGCTGCTGGCAGTAAGCAATGTCACAGACCCCTCTGCACAGCAACCCTACATCCTCAGTACTGTACTGGAGTTTTCTCATGGCTCCTTTGCATTCAGACTTGCTGTCTCTGGGTTTCTAAAGACTCGAGTTGTTCAGAGAGAGAGAATCTTCTGCTGCACCTACGGACAAATGCAATATTTTTTTTCATGATGAGGAAACCTCGAAATTTTAATATTGAACCATCTCTAACTGGAATGCTTAGAACACATTAGTATATTTTTGCTAAGAAGCTTTAACCAAAAGGGACTGTACAATGTACAGGATTACTTTTTCTTAGTTTTAATACTTCAAACTTTTATTTATTGTTTTTGTTTCAAGTTGCAGAATACTGGTTATCCAAGTTACTTTCTATAGAACCTACTGTACTTACATGGTTTGAGAATATTTGTAACTATTGAATTTAAGTGAAATAATGATTTGCACACACTACAGTTGTAAAATAAGGTATTGTAATTCTCAAATGATGCAGTTTGTGATTCCTTGCACTTCTCAGCAGTGCAATTTTTGCAGTCAAAGGTGAAAATGAAGCCTAGAGTTCTGGGAGCAAGGATTGGGGTTGGATCACCCTAATAAACAGAAGAGAATGTTTTGAGAAAAACAGTCATTTTCCCAGTACACAAACATGAGAAGGGTGTAAGAAAAGAGCAACAAACTATTAATTACTGTTTTGTATTATTTGTAATGTATTATTAGAGAGGCAGTGCATAGAAACAGAGAAAAATTATGCTCTATTTGTGATAAAGCACTTTGGTTTTGTCCCAGGTTCTTTACTAGCTAGAGGAGTGTGAATGGATAGTCTTGCTTCCCGAGTGAGGCTTGCACTGTCTGTTGGTGAAAAAAATGTTTAAATTCTGGGGCATCTTTTATGTTTTTGGAGAGAGTGGGAGAATTTTCTACTGCTTGAGTGTGTGACTTTTTAAAAACTCTCTGTACTATAGCTTTGTAAGTAAATGCTATGCAGGATGATCTTTTGGGAACAGCTTTTGCAAGGATTGTATCCCAGTTACAGCAAAGGACTCAAGAACATGGCACTTTAGAGGCTGCATTAGAACAACATAGCACTAATATAGCGAGAGGATATTTTTATCTCTGGTATTGAAGGTTTAAACAAATTTTTGCATCGATTGTATATCATAAAATTACAGAATTTTTTTCATGTTTTCTTCATGTTTGGGTTTTGTTTTTTTAATTCAGGTAATGAAAGGAAAGCATTTGAAGATATCTGATAGACGTGCGTCTTTTTTATACAGACATTTAAATGTAGGTACAACCCTAACCTCTGTCGCTCCAGGAGAGGATGGCAGCCTGGGCTGGTGTTTCTAGGAAGGCTGGAGTTGGGAACAGATGGATGTGGCCATCACTAGATGTCATCCTTGTGCTGCTGGGGAGCCACCCTGTCCTCATGGGGACACAGTCTGGACATGAAGTGGCTTGCTCTGTTCACAGAGCATATTATGGATAATAGGACTCCTTTGGCAAACGATGCATTTTTGGTGATGGTGATTTGCTAGAATGGCTTCTTGGATTGATTTTTTCTTTTTTTTTTAACTCTATAGACTTTTTTTTTTTTTTTTGCATTTAATTTGGATGTCATTTCCTGATCATTCAGATCTCTTTTTTACATACATGGGGCCAAAATCATCAGTTCTCTTGCTTTATTAGAAGGAACTTTTCTGCTTTTTCTGAATTTTGGGCTATATCATGGAGAGAAGCGGAAGAAATAAACAGGCACTTTCTAAGAACTGATAGAAGTCTATTTGTGTAAATGAAATTTGAGATTCTGCCATTGTAAAATGCATTTTCTCTTTTCTATTCTAGAAGTAAATTCTGAATAAACCAGCAAATACTGTAGCTCATAGATAAATGACTACCTAAATAACTTAAAATTATACAGACTTTATTAGAACAAGTTTTTTAACTGGATTAGTTTGGAAACATGGCAGCTGTTGTTACTGCAGGAGCAAATTAATTCTTTCACAAGATTTATAGAAGTGTCTAGACTCAAACCACTATTTTTGGATTCTTGGCTATCCCTAAAAAATAAAACCAGAACTGTAACTTTGAGTCTTTTGCAGTTGATGACAAATATTGTGACTTTCAATTCACTTATTAGATTCTCCCTTTACTATTTGTAATCTTTTTTTCTGGCTTAAAGCAGCCTTTTCAAGAAAAAGTGTCACTTGTAAATATTTCTGGTGAAATTAATAGGTATTTTTGAATACAATTGAGATAGTATGTGCTTATCTTTCTTTGTATAACAGCACAAGTCTAGTAAGATACTGACAGTTTGTTCCTGGCATGGTGCAGGTAATGGCAGGATGTGGTTAAACCAGGTCAATAAATACTATTTTGATGCCCTGCTGTTAGTCTGCTGGCAATTCTGTCTAATACTGAACTGAAATATAAAGTACTTGTTCTTTCAGATCCCAGGCTTCTTCCTCAAAACATAAACAGGGATGTGGAACTCCTGTGGATTTTGGTAGCTCAGTGTGATGCTCCCCAGGCAGGGAGAACCTGTAATCCAAGCTAATGTGCAATTTTGGGGATTCAAACAGAGCTTCCAGGGATGCCCTCCAGGGATGAACTCTGAAGGTGTTCACACATTAACCCTGAACTTTTCCATTTCCTGCTGCAAGCAGAAGGCTGCTGAAGGAGCTGGGAATGCTCAGCCTGGAGAGAAGGAGGCTCAAGGGAGACCTCAGCACTCTACAGCTCCTTGACTGGAGGTAGGTGGGGTCAGGTTCTGCTCCCAAGGGACAGGATGAGAGGAACTGGCCTCCAGTTGTGCCAGGGGAGGTTTGGATTGCATATTGGGGCAAAAAAGGGGTTATTAAGCATTGGCAGAGGCTGCCCAGGGCAGTGGAGAAATAATAATTCCTGGAGATGTTTAAAAGGTGTGCAGGTGTGGCACTGATGGACAAGGGGTAGTGGTGGATTTGGTGCTCCTGGGTTATAGCTGGACTTGACTTCCGAGGTCTTTTTTCACCTAAATGGTTGAGTACCTATAAACACTTGTCACTTGGTGTCCTGGGGGCAGGGAGGATCCTTTTGGGATTCCCTTGTAGGGGACGGTGAGGGACAGTGCTGTTGCATACTACAGCAGAGATTGATTCCGGGTTTCTTTCCTGTAGTGCTTTGTAGTCCTGGAATTTGCTGTGGATCTTACACTTGTTAGAACACTGGAAAATTTGGTTTAGTCACGAGCATAAAAGGCTAAAGTCATTTTAGTGACTGCTCACAGGAGGGTTTCTGTTCGTGATCCAAAGTGGGACAGAAAAGAGAATACAGACCTCAGCCTGCCTGATCTGTTAAAGGTAAGTTCAGGTACGTGGGCACTGCACACAACTTTTTATTATCCATTTGTTTTCACAATAAAACCACCAGAAATAGTCACACAATCTTTGGAAATGCTAAAAAGGTTTGTGGGAAAGGTCTGCCTTGGCTGTTGCTGCCACAGTGCTGACCCTGTCTGGGTGGCAACTTTTCTTTCCTGGCACTCGCAGATTCCAAGTGCACATGACCCAACATTTTTAAGGTGTCCTACACCACTGAGGGAACATTGGCACAACGGAGAGAGAGTCCCATCATTGATGGGCTCTTGGGTAACACTGTTAATGGGTTACAGTGAGGTTTGGCAGGGTGTTCCTGGAAGGTGCTGCAAGGTGAGCAGCAGGACTCTGAACTCTACAACAGCTCAGGTAGCGTGTAATTTTTAAACAAAAACTGATTTCAAACATTGCTGCTTTCATAAACCTTACACATAGACACTACTACTGGGCCTTTAATATTTAGCAAAATACTTTCAGATGAGTGGACAGAAATTGTCTGAGAGGAATTGTTCCATCCTTAGACTTCATCTTGTCACAATTGAATAAGCAAATTGATTCCTTAATTATAAAATCATAGAATCTCCTGAGCTGGAAGAGACACATCAGTATCATAGAGCCCAACTCATGGCCCTGCACAGACACCCAAAATCCCACCCTCTGCCTGAGAGTGTCCCCCAAATAGTCTTGGAGCTCTGGCAGCCTTGAGGCTGTGACCATTCCCTGGGGAGCCTGTTCAGTGCCCAGCACCCTCTGAGGGAAGAACCTTTTCTAGATCTTCAGCCTGACCCTGCCCTGGCCCAGATCCATTCTCCTGGGTCTTGTCTCTGGTCACCAGAGAGGAAAGATCAGCGTCTGCCCCCCTCTTCCCTTGTGCTTTATATACATTTGATTTGCCAGGTCTTCAAGAATTTCAAGAATACTTTTTTTTTAAATCTGCAAATGCAGTTCCAGTATCAGATGCTGTTTTCAGTATCATTGAAGAGATGATAAACCCCTCATCAAACACAAAGCCAGGTGAGGTCAGTGTTGTTTCAGCAAGCTACAGTCAGCTTCTAAAGCTTTGCTCTGGACAGCTCTGGGCTGCCCACACTTCATTCTCCATGGAATTTGTGTTCCAGCCCCTCTGGTGGTCAGGATGCCCATTCTGCTGGGGGCAGCAATGCACACAGGCTGACTCCTAGGAAAATTGTTGCAGGAAGAGCTGCTTCTCCTCTTTTGAGCTCCTGCTAGTTTCATTTGCAGATTTCTGTTGGATTCGTGGATTGCTGCTTGTGGAGCTGGAGGAGCCAGCAAAGAGTTGTTTCTTACCTTCTGTCTCTCTGTTACTCATGACCACTTAGATTTTTGTGACAGTGCTCCTTTATGAACCCCCAGCTGTGGAACTTTTTAAATCACAGCAGTTTTCAGGGCTGCCTTGCTTGTGGTTTATTTCAGTAATTTGCTGCCTACTCCTAGATTGTCTTTAAAAAAAACCAAAACAGGTTTCTCGAAGTGTAACCTTTCCTGTCCTGCTTTTGATGACAGCAAAGATTCACAGTAATGGGAAGACAATGGTCTGGAACACCCAATCTTTCCAAGCAGTTGTGCTATTGCCATGGTATGCATTCCTCCAGCTGAGCCTGATGTGATTCCTGCTCACGTCAGCAGGTTTTCTCTTGCTCACATTTTACATAAAATATGCAGCATCTTCTGATTTGTAACACTGCTCTTTGTGATTTCCAGATCTGCACTGACACATCTCTGAGGTTCATGCTGGAAAGGTTTCTGCAGCTAAATACAATCCTCACAGGTATGTGAAATTTTATGGAAAGTTTCCTTGTCCACTGGAAAAGGAACTGGAGTTTGCTTTTTCTTGATTTTCAGGGGTTAATTACACAACATTCGAGATCAATACACAAGACTGATCACCTGAAACTGGGCTCCCAAGCGCTGGGGCGGATTGGTCACTTCTTAAACGACCTTCTGCTTTTTGGGGGTTGAAACCAGAAACTTCAGGACACAGAAACTTTGGAGCAGAAACTTTGCAGCAGAGCCAAGACAGGACAGGATCTCTTCCATCAGTTCAGCAGCAGGTTCAGTGTGCAGGGCTTTTCCTGGTGTTTTCAGACACTGTGGGAAGAGCCAGGGATGGGACAGCCGAGGTCAGAAGTTTGACTGTTTAGGGGGTACAATTTGGGAGCATTTTGTACTTCAGCTGCTCTGGATTAGGAATCCTTTGGGCACTGAATCTCTCCTGTCCTTTTTAGAAAGGGATTGGAAGGGAATTTAAACATGAGGAGAAAGGTTCAGGTAGGGATTTGACAGCTAAAAATTTTGCAGCGCGTTGTCCCAGGACTGAACATTGTGTCACACCGAAGCTCGAGGCCAAAACAGTTTTGCTCTCTTGGGTATTTAACAATCAGGGTATTTCAGGCAGCTGAAAGCCAGGACAGCTTTGACAGCCCAGCTGCAATAGATGGTCAGAAGAGCGAACATTTGCAAGGTAATGAGTGCGGCGGGGCGGAGCGGGGCGGGCACCGAGCGGAGCGGCGCGGGCGGGACGGCGGCGGGGCTGCCCGGAGGCTCCGCGCGGTTCGGCCGCAGGTAAGGGAAGTTCGCGGGAGCCGCTCCGAGACCGCTCGGAGCCGCCTGCGGCACCTCGGTGTCCCGGCGGGATGAGCCCCGCCGTGTCCCTGTCCCCGTGCCCGCCACATCCCCCAGCCTCTGTCCCCTGCATGTCCCTGTCCCTGTGCCCGCCACATCCCCCAGCCTCTGTCCCCTGCATGTCCCTGTCCCTGTGCCCGCCACATCCCCCAGCCTCTGTCCCCTGCGTGTCCCTGTCCCTGTGCCCGCCACATCCCCCAGCCTCTGTCCCCTGCATGTCCCTGTCCCTGTGCCCGCCACATCCCCCAGCCTCTGTCCCCTGCATGTCCCTGTCCCCGCTCCGTGTCCCTGTCCCCGCTCCGTGTCCCTGTCCCCGCTCCGTGTCCCAGCCCCTGCTCCCCCTGCATGTCCCTGTCCCCCTGCCACCTCCCAGCGCTTCCAGCACTCCCGACCTTCTGTGCCTTATTTCTGTGCTGGACCTGACGTAACTTTTGGGGAAGTTTTGGGGAGAGGTTGGCGATCTCCGGTTTAATCTTTTCGGGCTCTGGTAGGAAGCTTCAGGCGTTGGTGCCGTGAAACTGCAGTTATGAGTTTTATCTAGAGCTAACAAATGTGGTTTGATTTAAGGCCTGGGGTTCTTACATCCTGTAATTATTTTCCCGAGGTCTGTTTCTGTTGGAGCCGTGACTTCCAACAGCTGCAGTCGCTGTTCTTGCTCAGGCCGGGGCTGGGTGCAGCTGGAGCTGTGAAAAGGCGCTTTGCACCTCGGAGGCTGTTTCTGGGGGAAGGGCCGCTTTGGTGTTGGGGCTGTGCTGTAACACGTGTGTGCTCCTCGTGTGAGTGAGCAGCACAGGGAAGAGTTTCAGGCCGGGCTCGGCTGTGCCTGAGCCTTGAGAGGCTCTGCAGCTCTCCTGGTTCTGGCCCGAGCACAGCCACTGCCGCAGCCCCGTGTGTAGCTCTGTGTGACTGCACTGGCAGCTCATTGAGCAATACAAGTGTCGCTGCATTCCAAAAGTAAACAGCAGAAATGGGGCACGGAGTGGGAATATTCTCCATGCTTACACCGTGGAGCTTTGGGCAGGGAGATGGCCCAGAGTGTCAGCTCGGGATTTATTGCCTCTGTTAAAGGGAGCAGCTCTATCTTGAGGATTTACATTTGTGGAGGATGTGAGTAGAGGTTTTAGTAAAACTGGTGTCTCAGTGAGGCAGCATGGCAGGTTGGTTTGAGAAGCATTCTGGAAAGTAGGATAGCAGAAATCTGCTTGAACTCTCAGTTCCAAGTGCAGCAAAGATTTTGGCCTCTTAATTTCTTCACATCAACTAAGAAATGAGGAGCCAGAGCACTCCCTACTTGAGCTTAGTACCCATCCAGTGGAGTTTAGGATTTAGCACAGCTTCGTGAGAAGCTGTATCAGAGATCAGCTGCTGGCAGTGACAGTGACTGTCAGGGGAGTGCTGTGGTGCTCACACATGAGGATTGATGTTCCCGTGCCAGGAGGGCGAAGTTGGTGTTTCTCTCCTCCCTGAGGGGAGCCCCACCTGGCTGTGAGGGGAGCCCTGAGGAGCAGGTTCCCTCTTTGGCAGCCCATCTCCTGCCTTGAGCCCTGGGATTTCATCCATGTGCTGCATCTGGTGCAAGAGTTGTGCTGAGGAAGGCTGAAGTTGGTTTGTGCTGTGCCCTTGTGTCTGCAGCGGGTCCAGGCTCTGCTTGTCCCTGACCCGCAGGGAGGAGCGCCTTGAAAGCAGGGCTGTCCCATGGGGCAGGGATCCGTGGTGAAAATCATCTTTTTTCCTCTTAGCTGCGAGTCCTGTTTCCTTTGTGGCTTGTGCTGCCAGGGCAGTGTGACACACGCTGCAGGAAGGAGCTGGTGCCGCTGGAAATGGCAGTGGAGCTGCACGGGGAGGCTTTGCCTGTGAGCCCCGGCCCAGGAGGTCATTGTTGGCATTCCTGCCATGACAGCCATTCCCGGGGGACTGAGGCTCCCAGGTGGGGCTGCCGGCCTGGCAGGTCCCGTTGGTCCCTGGTGAGGAGCGGGACAAAGTCTGGTCACTGCTCAGGGGCCAGCTCAGGGTGGCCTGAGGACAGGCAGAGCTGTGTGTGATGGGCTGCTCGGTGCAGCGTCCTTTAGGAGGTTTAGTCTCTTTAATCCATCCAGGTGGGGCTCCTGCGATGTTTCTTTCCCCACCTGGAGGAACACTTTCAGTGGAGTGGAAATCCTTCCCCTGCAGAGCTTTGAAACCAGCAAAGGTTTAGTCACTTTCTTGTGCTGCGATTGCATCAAACCGGCCTTTGGCTTGCTGAGCACAAGGGAGTTGTGTGAACTCCTTTGAGGAACTGACTGATTTCCTTTGTTGTGCTTTGTGTGTGTTTTTCTGGGAAGGTGGAGGCAGCACAGAGAGGAGACCAGATCCCCAGTCTGGGACAGATGTTCCAAAAACATATCCCTGACTCCCGAGGTGATTCAAAAGGAGTGCAAAAACCCCAAAATGCCTCCTCTGAATGGGGAGTCTGTTTTGCAGTAGTTTTCAACAGAGACAGGAGAAGCCATATATTAGGCAGGATTTAGGTGAGTGATAAAGCATCCTGTGGTGTGAGGGGTGGTCAGTAAAGCTCCTGTCCCACTGCTGAATTTGCACGCCCTTCCTCAAGGAGGTGCTGGTAACTTTTGCCTCAGCTGGTAAATGGTGATGTGCAAGTGAGGTTGGTGTATCTGAGACAGCTTCTTCTTGTTCTTACCCTGGTGACTGTCAGGGCTTCAAAGCAGAACTGAAGTTATGTGGCTGCTTTAAAGTGTGTAATTATGATCTGGCCCATTTCTGCCTGGCCAAACCACATCTCTAAACTTACAGAAGCAAGGAACAGGTTTATTGGAAGGTTCAGGCAAGTTTTGTTGTGTTCATTCCTCTTTGAGTGGAATGCGTACATGCAGCTGTCCATTAAGGATACATAAAACCACTTAATACCTTCATAACTAAACATGCTTAATACCTTCCTGTACTTGTCTTTGTACATGTACTTCCTCTACACATTCTCTGTGCTGACAGAGCTGATACTTCTGAAGAGAGCTCCTCACCAGAGCTGCTGGCTGGGGGGAATTGTTTGTGCTGAGGTGAGGATGCTCCTATTCCCTTCTCTGCCTCTGCCTCATTAAGCAGTGCAAGTTGTGTCAAGGAGCAGCACCAGAGGCCACTTCAGCAGTCTCTGGCTTGTGGTGTTTGAGGGGAGATAAAAATAACAAACCCAGTGACTTTAAGCAGCACTTTGCTTACATTTTGATGGTAATCCCTATTCCAGCAGGCACAGAGTTGTAACTCTTGCATGAATAAAATCCCCTTGCCACATGGTACGTGTGCACAAAAGGCTCTGAGGTCTGGTGTGCTGATGCAGAAGTTAGTTTGCACTTGCATCTCTCTTTATAGGCTTTTCCCCTAAATATTAGTGGAGAACTGACGGCTGAGACTGGAGCAGCTGCTGCAGCACCTGAACTCCAAAGTGGAGAACTCTGTGCTGCCAGCAGCTGTCAAATTGTGTCACAGATGGGAAAATCTGATAACCACTAGTGTGAATCAGCATCTTTGAAATCCGGCAGTTCTCATGGCTCCAAGTGCGATGGATTTGGGAGAAGAACTTTGTTTTCTTGCTTTGTTTCAGACACATCAAAACAAGAGGAAAGTATTATGGTCTGGTCTTCCCTGCCTCATCTCAGACTGATCAGGTCTGATGCAAAAGCACAGGGAAAAGCAAGGTATGTTTTACATGTCAGTGTAGAATTAACCCCAGATAGTTCATGGGCACTGCAGTGGTTGTGAAGGGAGACACAACAGACACAATTTATGGTTGGTAACAGAAAAAGAACTGTAAAAATAACTGCAAAATAACTGTAAAAGTATACAAACTGCCAAACAACCAACCCCCCAACCTCCTCATTCTTCAATCTTTCTGTTGTTGTGCTCTGTTATGGAGGACAGAAACAAGAACACACATCAGCACCAGAATCTGTTTTGGGGATGAGGGAGGGCAGTTCCTTTCCTTGGTCCTTTGGGAGGCAGAGGGTGTGGGAACAGGAGCTTTGCCCATTGCCTTGGGGGAGTCCCTGATGCCCCAAAGCCCCACACAGCAAATGTTTGTGGTTTAACATCCCAAGGATGTTAAAAGATGCCAAGGCAGGAATGGAATGGGCCATGGAGCAGGGATGGTGCCCAGCAGAGGGGTGACCATCCAGAGGGTCCCACCAGCCCATCCCTGCTGCCCAGGTTTGGGATGAGCAGGCTGGTGACTGTCCCTGTGTTTGCTCCACAGGATGAAGAAGCCAGTCCTGCTGAGGAAGATGAGGAGATGTGAAAGGATGGAGACAGCAGCCACCAAAGGCTGGGGAAGGCACAGAGCCAGGTAGGAGATGTTGCCTTTCAAGGAGAGGAACTTGTCTGTCCCATTGGAATTTGGGGTGTGGGGCCAATGGAACAAAGGGGTTGAGTTCATTTTCTTACTCAGGTTCTCATGTGCCTTGAAGAGATTTGTATAAAGGTCATTATCCCTGATGGAATCTCTGAAAAACAGGGGTTGAAGCTTTCTGAAGTAGCCCAAACCTGTCTGCACTTATCCAAATGCAGCCCCTGTTCTTGGGTACAGCTGGAATGAGACCTCAGCTGCTGTTACTTGCCAGCTCCCAAATTGTGTAGCTGAGGGTCTGCAGCCCTGAAGGGCCAGGCTGTGGTTAAACAGCCTGAGGTAGCAGAGAGCTGGAGTCATTTCCTAGCAGGGAACTTGACTTGGAAGTTGCATTCCAAACTTTTGTCCACATTTATTTTATCTCCCACATGGAGTTGCCTAAAGAAGCTGAGGTGGGTGTTCCTAACAAAAGAATATCCAAATTCATTGGTCCTAAAGGCACCTCCACTCATACTTAAAATTCAAGAATGAGTGGAGGTGCCTTTAGGACACTTCCTATTCTGTAGCATATGAATGGAATTTAAATGGAGTATCCAAATCCTGACAAGCTTGTATGAGCTCTAAAGCCTCTGCAAGTGTTTTACAGACAGGGAGAGAGACAAGAGTTTGGAGTCTCTCCCCTAAAGTGGCTGCTGGTTTCTTTGACCAGGAATAGGAATGATTGTGTATTCCCTGGGGCTGTCCCTATGGAGAAAGGTTTATTTTTCTGCCTTGGGTTTATTCAGGAAATGATGGAAACTGATTTCATTGAAATGCCAGGGCTGCCAAATGCTTTCCCCAGCCAGAGCTCAGAGCCAGCCCTGAGGGAAGGGGTTTAATGCCCATTTTCCCAATCCCTTGAGGCAGCAGAACTGGAGTACTTGCATCCAAACATGACCAAGGTACTAAGTACTGGCAGGAGGCAAATCCAGGGATTGGGCAATAGGAGTTTGCACCACTCCTGTGATCCCAGACCTGGAGCTGTGCTTTAGAACTCCCAGGAGATGCTGTCTCACTCAAACCCCATTTAAAGCCCAGCATCCCTCCTGCTCCCTTGGAATTACTGTTGCTTCCATTGCTGCTCTATCACAATATCATTATGATTAGTATTGTGAATTCCCACTCTTTCTTCCATAGCCCTTTGCTTCCCAGGGGTGGTGCTTTAGGAAAGCCCCTCCAGCCTGGGAAGGTGCTTTTGGCTCTGGACATATTCCCAGTTCCTGGGGACAGCAGGGCCCATGCTGTCCCCAGCAGATGAGGCAGAGGTGTCTTCCCTCCCTCTGGCATCTCTGGGGGTCTGAGGGGGTTCTTTGTCATTCCAGGGCAGAGTAAGTTCTGGTCCCACTAAAAGCAGGAGGAATCATTTTATCCTTGTTTTGGACACGTATTTTGTGTTTTCTCTCTTTGCTGACACCGTGGTGGTGAAGCAGCAGCTCCCAACCTTGTTAGTGCTGCTCCCTGGAATAGTTTATATTTGTAGAACAATGAATTCCCTGCTGGAATCCCAGTCACAGCCCCCCAGATCAATGTGCAGTTTAAGGTCTTACACCCTGACCTGGACAATTTCCTGTCTCCAGGCTGGGGTTGGCAAAGGGGATGTTCCTTGTTGGATGACACCCATGTGGAACAGATCCTTCCCCTCCTTTGTCCCAAGTCCCAATGGCAAAGCATGGAATGACTCACAAGCAGGGCCTGAAATGAAAATGGGTCTGTTAAAATCAGGCAAAGAATGCATTGAGAAAAAATGGGCATCCTTTTGTGTATGAAAAAAATGTAGGGAAAAATATTGGAAAATGGCACTTTTATTTGGTGCCACCTCTCATTTTTTATGGACAAAACCCCATAGTGAGCAATCAGGACAGAAGTGGGAAACCCAGGAGCCTTTGCCTTCCACAGTGGACTTAATTTCCATTTTCTCTTCTCTTTCAGGACAGGAAGAAATGCTTAACTCATCCCATCTTTGCCCAGAGCCTTGGTGTTTGAGCAGCCAAACCCAACAAGCTCCAGAACTGCTGGTCCTGCCCATGGTGTGGGGTGAGTCCCCAGAGTGTCCCAAATGCAGAGGGATCTGCCCTGGTCCCTGCAGTCCCCAAGGCCTGGGACACAGCCCTGTCCAAAGGGGCCTTTGGCTCCTTGTCAGGAACGTGGCAGCAGCCCCAGGGCAGGTGGGAGCTGAGAGCTGGGGCAGTGTCTGAGCCTCAGCCAGGCCAGGGCAGGGTTTATCTGCAGGGGCTTGGCCCCACACGCTGAGTTTCAGCAGGATCAGGGTGGCAGATGCTGCATTTTGTGCATCCTGGGAGTTTCTGTCCCCCCTGGAGATTTCCTGCTGGAATGTGGCAGCACAGGGAGCAGAATTAAACCTGCCCCTCCCCTGGGCATTGCTGGCCTTTGTGCCTCTCTTGTGCCATCAGAGCAGGGGAATTTGCTGCTGTCACTGCCACTGCCACCCCAGCTGGGGGCTGTGTCCTCCTGGCAGCCCTTCCCAGCCCCAACACGAGCTCCAGAGGTGCCTCTGTGCCCTGCTGGGAGTGTTTGCTGGGAATGTGCCCCCTCCCTGGAGGATCCTTTTGTTCCAGAGTGGCCAGACAGAGCTTTTGGGCTTGGCAGCTTCAGAGTTTGAAGGCAGAAGTCACTGAAAGGGAGGAGGACAAGGAGGTTTGGCAGAGTGGTGCTGCCAGACCCCACCTGACAGTCTGTGCTTTGTGTGTGAGGTCGTTGTGGATTTGCACTGCAGGGAATGAATGTCCCCTTCCCAGTTCAGCCCAGCAGATCCCAAGGGCTCTTCCAGGAATATTTATCCTTCACTTCTCTTTGTGACAACTTAATCCCCACCCTGCCATGAGCAATTCCTTGATTTCTCCTGGAGAAAACCTCCTGGTAGAGGCAGTTTGCAAAGGAGCCCCGAGTTGTGTTTGGAGCAGAGGATGCTGAGAGCTTCACCTGCCTGTGCTGCCCAGCCTGGCACTGTCCCCATGGAGCAGCCTGGGCAGATGGGATTAGATGGAGCAAAATCCCTTCATGGAAGAGGTTCTCTCCTGTGCAGATCAGGCAGGGGGCAGGAAGTGAACTTTGGAAATCAGCAGATTTCCCCCAGAAAGCATCACTCACCTCATCCTGAATGACATGACCTGTGCCCACTGCTCAGGATTCACCCACCCAAAACCAAGAGCAAAGATTGGTTTGGGTTTCAGGACTTGAAATAACCCTGAAACAGAATCAATCACCTTTTTCTTCTTCTTTCTTTCTTTCAGATTCTGGACTTGCCTCTGTGGACATGTGTGCTGAGCTCTCACTGCAGGGAACTGTCAGGCCTTGATGGTTGTGAGTTCATGTTCTTCTCTCTGGGGAATTGGAAATAATTATTAATGAATTGCAGAAGAGTTTCCTCAAAGCTTTCCCCTTTCTCCCAGCATGTGGAACAAGGGCAGAGAGAGGGAGCAGAGGAGCAGCTGGGGCTGGAGAGAGGCACTGTGGGCAAAGGGACCTCCCTGGTGCCACCAGGGCACCTGTGGGGAACTAAATGGACACTGAGGGCAAAGTGCAGGCAATTGCTGGCAGAGCTGGGGGAAGATCTAACTTCAGCTACAGGGAATAAGCATGGGGATAATTTTGAGGAAAAGCTGAGGTGATGTTTAGGGGAGAGAAGGAGTCAATATTTTACAGAAAGCAAAATTCTGGGGGTAAAACTTGATGTAATCTGTAGGGGACAGAATGGATATTTTGGGGTAAAAATGAGGTACTCAGAAGTGGATTGGTGAGGAAAATTCTGGAAGCACAACCTGACCAAATCTCTAGAGCAGAAAACAAAACATTTTGAGGGAAAAATGAGGTGATGAATAGCGAGTGTGTAAGGAAAATTTGGGGGTTAAATCTGAGATAATCTCTAGGGGAGAGCACAAACATAGTAAGGTAGTATGAGGGAATCAGTTATGGGCAGGTAGGGAAATTTTGGGGGGTAAAAATAGTAAGACATTATCTGTAGTCAGAAAATGAACATTTTGAGGTAAAAAATGAGGTCATTAGTAGTAGACAGATGGAAAATTGGGGGGGCAAATCCTGAGAAAAGCTACATGGTAGAAAATCAATACTGAAGTTAAAATGAGGGCATCAGTAGTGGATAGGTAGAGGAGATTTGGGGGCTAAGTTTGAAATAATCTAAAGGTTGACAATTAATATTTTTAATTAGAAATGAGGTAATAAGTTGTAGATAAGTAAGGAAAATTTTGCAGGTAAAACTTGAGTAAATCTCTAGGGAGAGAGTGAACCCTGACAAACTGAGGCAGTCAAGGAAATTTTTGGGGGTATGACTTGGGAAAATCTGTAGGACAGAGAATGGACATATTGAGGTAAAAAGGAGATGATTGGGAGTGGACAGGCAGGGAGAATTTAGGGGCCAAACCGGATATAATGTGTCAGAACAAGAAATGATTTTGAGAAGAACTCTGATGTGATGTGTAAGGGGCAGAATGAACATTTTGGGGATAAGACAGACATAACTTGTGTGGGTTTGTTTTCAAATCTAGTTAGTGTATAGGGGACAAAATGAACATTTTAGTCATAAAATAGGAGTTACCCTGTAGAGGAAAGAATGCATATTTTGAGGTAAAAAGGAGGTAATCAGAACTGGGCAGGTAGGGAACATATTGGGGGGGAAAAAGTGAGGTAATGTCCAGAGTAGAAAATGAATGCTTGCTTGTAAAAAATGAGGAAAGCAGAAGTGAACAGACAGGGAAAATGTGGAGGGGAAATGTTAAATAATCCCCAGGGAACATAATGAAAACATAGGTGATCACTTGTGGACACGTAATGAGAATTTTGGGTGTAGAAAGCATTATTTTCTCCAGGATGGAGAATTAACATTTTGAGGTGAACAAGAGATAACTAGTAGTAGACAGGTAGGGAAAATCTTGGGGGTAAAACTTGAAATAATCTGTAGGGCAGGGAATTAATATCTCAAGGGAAAATGAAATAATCAGTAGTGGACAGAAAAGGGAAATTTTGAGTAAGCCTTTAGGTAATCTCTAGGTGAAAGAAGAAACATTTTAAGATAAAATGAGTTGATCAGTAGTGGACATCAAGGGACAACTTGGGGGCAAAACCTGAGATAATTTGTAAGGGTAAGAAGTACTTTGGAGAAAAAGATCTGACGTAATTTGTACGGGCCACATGAAGATTTTGGGGATAAAAAAGACAGAACCTGTGTGGTTTCTGGTTTTAAAAATCTAGGTAATATATTGGGGAGAAAATGGACATTTTGGTCATAAAATCAGAGTTAACATGCAGGTGAAAGAATTAGTATTTTGGAGGTCAACTGAGGCAGTCAGTAGTGCACAGGAAGGGAAAATGTTGGCAGCTCAAGGTGAGGAAATGACTGGAGGGAAACTCAGGCCTCACCTTGTCCTCCTTCCTGGGCAGAGCCAGCAGGAAAGGGAAGAGAGGCCCCGGTGGGACGAGGCTGGAGAGGGACAGGAGAAAGGCAGAGGGACCTCCCTGTGCCACCAGGGCACCTGTGACACAAGGAACACCCTGAGGGAAGGTGGAGGTGAGGAGTGGGCAGTCTGGGGCAAAATCTGAGCTCATCTGCAGGGGAATAAGTAGGGGATATTTTGGAGGGGAAAGCTCAGGTGATAAATTAACCAAGCTTGGCCCAAGTTGTATTTGCACAAAGTGGGACCAGAGGTGAAGGTTAATCCAAAGCCAACCCTGCTCAACCTCTAAATTCCAGAATAAATTCTACAAGCTGCCCATGGAGGGACTAAAATTAGATAAAAACAAAACCAAGAGCATACCAGAAGGATCCTGGGAATCCCATCACAGTGTTGTCACAGCCTTTTTAACAGATCTTTAAGATCTTCATTTCTCTGTCAGGATCATCCACTCCATGGGCGATGGGATTTGTTTGGATTTGAGCTCCCTTCCCAGTGGCCCTGACACTGCTCAGGAGCTGGCAGGAAAAGCAGAGTCAGAGCTCCTGGCAGGGCCAGGGTGTTTTCCCCCAGAGCTGCTGCCCACCAGGCTGGCTAGGAGAGATCTGCCTTGGCTTTACAGGGAATGTTTGCAGTGACTCAGGAGATTCCAGCAGCCTCGTGTCCCGGCGCTTCCCGGGCAGCCGAGCTGCTCTCCCGCCCCTCCTGCTCCCAAGCCCCGCCGAGCCGAGGGGAATTTGTCCTGCCAGCAGCAGGGGAAGGACCCTGGGGCTTGGATTGTCCCTCTGGGGGATGTTGGGATTTCCATCATTCCATGCATTTGGCTGCTGGAATTTCCCAGCCCAGGGGCTTTAGCTGACAGGGCAGCACAGGGATTGTTCTCGGTGTGGCACCCAGATCTCAGGGTCAGTATCAGCTTTTCTGTTTCAGATGAATTATACCCACAGCCCCAAATTCCCTGCTGAATTCCTGCTGGAATAACCCAACAGTGCCTTGTGGAGTCTGGACATTCCCATGTAGAGCTGCCGTTGAACAGCAGCTGTGGCAGGAACCAGCAGAGGTTCCAGGACAAGGACAGGTTTGTATTCCATAGAATTTGTTATTTATAACCCTCATCCCCCAGCCCCACTGATGTCCCTGGGGGACACTTGACAGAGTTCCCTGGAATTCAGCTGATTTCATCCCCCTGAGCTCGGGCTCCAGTTGAAATTTTAAAGCAGGAGAAGGTGATGGCTCCTGGCCCGTGCTGAGGCAGCCCCTGTGCCCAGGGGAGGACATCTCTCCCTGCAGGAGCTGACTCCATCTCAGAGCCTCAGGAGTGCCTCTGCAGGTTCTTTTCCCTCAGGAAAGGGATGCACATCCCTGCTTCCAGCACACCTCCAGTGGGACCCACCTGTGAAAGTTTTCCATCAGTTCTGTGGTTCCAGCTGGCTCCCTAGAACACTCCAAACTTCATCCAAACAAAACTTCACCTGACTCTAACCTTTTATTTACAGGCCTCCCTGAGGGCATTGCTTGGGGTTTCATTTCTGGGGGGAAGATCCCCTTGGCTTTAACGCTGCTGAGGGATGATGGCCCCAGGCTGGGAGGGAAGGGGTTTGGGGGGCTGGGACACACCTGGGGGTATGCAGGAGCTCCGGGAGGTCGGCACCGGGAATTGCTGCCTGAGCCCCTCCTCAAACGCACCGCGCTGACATTCCCAGGTAAGGCCAGATGTTCCAGCTGTTCCTCGGTAATTCTGGGCTGCGGGCGGGGCCTGTCCGGGCTGAAGCAGCTCCGGAGCCCGTCAGAGCAGCCCCCGGCCGAGGAGCCGCGGGCAGCCCTCGATCCACGTCCATCCCAGCGCTGCCCATCCCCGGGATGCGGGTGTGGCGGGACACTGAGGCACAGCTCCTCCCCGCAAACACCGAGGGCAGGAGGTGCTGGGTCCCTTCCTGGGCTCCCGGCCTCCTCCTGCCCCGCATTCCCAGCCAGCTGGGACCACTGAGGAAACACCAAGGAACATTCCCACCTGGGAGTGGGAGTCACCAAGGGCTCCGTGCAGCTCCGGGCCAGGAAAGTGGCCCCAGCCCCAGCAGGGATTTTGGGCTGTGAACACTCACCTGCAGGAAACGCCCCTCTGCAGGTGGGACCAGCCCTGACACTCTCCTGAAGAACTCTGGCCATGGACCAAGTGATCCCTCAGGGCTTGTCCTGCTCATTTCTCCTTGGAAAGGGGCATGGAATGAGCACCTTTACAGCTGTTGGGTAAATCCTGGAAAGAGCAGGAAACCAAGGTTATTGAAGAGTCTTGTGCTGTCCTGTGAGACACCAGCCAGTCCTGCTCTAGAGCCGGTCTAGGGGCTGGTGTGCAGAGCAGGACTAGCAGGAAGGAAGGAGCCACATTGACATAGGAATTCCCTTGCTGGCAGCAGCCACCCCATCCCAGGCAGGACCTTCCTCATGAGCCTGAGGTTGCTCAGGTGCTTGGAGCAGGGTGCTGACAAGGCCAAGATGCTGAATTCAGTCCCCACGTGGGCCAATCGCTCATCACCGTTTGACTCGATGATCCTCATGGCCCTTCCCAACTCGGAACCTCCTGTGCTCTGAAAATAAAGAACAAACACCTCTCACCGGCTTTTTAAACCCCCGTGTTCTTCCACTGGGGGGTGCGAGCCACAGAGGAAGGGGGACGGGAGGGAGAGCATCGAGTCTCCCCCGGCAGGTGTCGGGTGAGCGGCTGGAGCAGGACCGAGCCCGGCGGGGCCCCGGTCCCGCACCGGGCGCGGTCCGGACTCGGCCCCAGCGCCCGCCCCGGAGCGGCTCCTCCCGCCCGCGGCGCTCCAGCCCCGCTCGTTCGGCGGAGCCCCCGGGGGCTCGGGCCCGGGGCAGGGGCAGGAGGGCGCCGCTCCGCCCAGGGGGTGCGGTGACCTCGGGGCTCCGGGGCGGCTCCGCATCCCCGGGGCGCGGCGGGGCCGGGGCCGCACCGGGGGCGCTGCCGCCGCTCCGCGCCCGCCCGGCGGCGCCCCGGGGCCGGTGCCGTGGGGCCGCTTCCAGCCGCGATCCAGCGCCGCTCCGGGGAACGCCGCCCTCCTCCCGGGCCCGGCAGCGGCACGGCCCCGGCTCCCGGCGCCCGTCCCGGAGCCGCGGTGGGACCCCAGCCCCGCACCGGCCGGAGCGGGAGCAAAGCGGCAGCGCCGGGCTCGGTCCCGGCGCCCGTCCCGGAGCGGCTCCTCCCGCCCGCCGCGATCCCAGTCCCCCATCCCAGCCCAAATCCCGCATCCCGCCCGCCGAGGAGAAGCGGCTCCGCCCGGGACCCCCGGCAGACACCGGCAGGACCCGGATCCAGATCTCCGGGCCCCGATGCCGGTGCCGGCCTCTCCTCAGCGCCCCGAGCTCCGCGCAGCGCTCCGAGCGGCGCTCCCGCCGCGCCCCGGGCCGATCATTCCCGCATGGAGCGGAGCGGGCGCGGATCCGCCGGGATTTATGGGCGGGGCCGGCCCGGCACAGGTGTGAGGGGCGAGGCCGCACAGGTGTGAGGGGCGGGGCCGCACAGGTGTGAGGGGCGGGGCCGCACAGGTGTGAGGGGCGGGGCCGCACAGGTGCGCGGGGCCCCAGAGCGCCTGCGCGGGGCGGGGCTGAGGGGATTTAAACCGCGGCGGGGCCCGGCGGAGCCATTTGCTCCTCGGCGCTCGGGGCGGGTGGTTGCGGCCGGGCCGGGCTCTATATTTCTTTTCCTCTTTATTTCTTTTACGTTTCTTTTCTTTTGTATTTCTTTTTCTTTATACCTCTCTTTGCTCCCCTCCCCTCCCCCCCCCCCCCCCCCCCCCCCCTCCCCCCCCCCCCCCCCCCCCCCCTCTCCCCCCTAGCCCTCCCCTCCCTCCCCCCCCGGCCGGGTCCCCCCTACCCCCCATCCCCCTACACACCCCAACCCTACCGCACCCCTCCGTCCTCTCCTGCCTCCCTTTCTTCTCCCTCACCGTGGTTCCTCCTGGTACCTCTCCATGATACCTTTCCCCAAAACCGCCTTCAATCCTTCCCCTCCTTCTTCCCCGCTGCCATTCCCCGAGCCCCCTCCCCTGGTGCCCTGCACACCCCGACCTCCCCCCACCTGCCCCCTGTCCTTGTCACCGTCCCCTTGACCGCCCCCTCCGCTCCCCTGTTCTCGTTCTCCATCCCCCGCTCTCTCTCGTTCTCTCCCGCAGCCGCGGGGCTCGGGGTGCCGGAGAATAAAGCCCAGAGGGCCGGAGCCCGGCGCCCGCCGCCCTCGCTGGAGTCCCCCCGACACGGGGCCGGACCCGCCCGGCGGGTCCCCCCATTGCAGTGTAATACACGGCCCGACACTGCCGGGGTGCGGCTGTCCCGACATCACACTGGGGGGTCGGGCTGGGGTCAGGGAGGGCCGGGGGGAGTGGGGTGGGGGTGGGTTAGGGGGGGCTCCCTCCTTAGGAGGGGGTCCCGGGGGGGGGGGTTCAGGGAGGGCCCCCTCCGGAGGGGGGGGCCCCGGGGGGTCGGGGTGGGCCCCCTCCGGAGGAGGGGGTCCGGGGGGGGGGGGGGCGGGGGGGGGGCGTTCCCCCCTCCAGGCCCCGCCCCCTCTCCCGGACCCCCTCCTCCGGACCGGGGCCCGGGGGGGGGGGGGGAAGGGTGGGTGGGAGGGGGAACAGAGGGGGGTCACGTCACTCTGTGCGCGGACAGAAATCGCAAACGAACGAACGCACCGCTCCTCTCTCCCACCCCACCCCCCCCCCGCCCCGGGCCCCGGTCCGGAGGAGGGGGTCCCGGGGAGGGGGCGGGGCCTGGAGGGGGGGAACTCCCCCCTCCGCCCCCCCCCCCCCCCGGACCCCCCCCTCCGGAGGGGGCCCTCCCTGACCCCCCCCCCCGGGACCCCCTCCTAAGGAGGGAGCCCCCCCTAACCCACCCCCACCCCACTCCCCCGGCCCTCCCTGACCCCAGCCCGACCCCCCAGTGTGATGTCGGGACAGCCGCACCCCGGCAGTGTCGGGCCGTGTATTACACTGCAATGGGGGGACCCGCCGGGCGGGTCCGGCCCCGTGTCGGGGGGACTCCAGCGAGGGCGGGGGGCGCCGGGCTCCGGCCCTCTGGGCTTTATTCTCCGGCACCCCCAACCCCGCGGCTGCGGGAGAGAACGAGAGAGAAGGAAGGGGAGAGAGGAGATGGGGGGTGAGGAGAGGTAGAGAGGGGGGTCGGGGTGAGGAGAGCAGCGGGAGGGGAAAGGCCAGGTGGGGGAAGAGGGAGAGTGGACAGAAGAGGAGGAAAGGGGAATAGAAGGGGATAGCGGGGTAGGGACAGGAGAGGAAGGAGTGGGGGGGGTCGGGTTCGGGGAGAGAGGAGGGAAGGGTTTCGGGGGGAGAGGGAAGGGGGAGAAAGGAAGAGAAAGAAAGGGAACACGGGGAGAAGGAAGGAGGGGTAGAGAGGAGCACAGGAGAGGAGACCGAAGCACCCGAGCCTCACCCGCCGAGCCCCCACAGGAGCTCCGCTCGCACCGCGCTCTGAGTGAGCAAATGGCGGCCGAAGGGATTGCCGGGAGTTAAATAACCTCGGCCCCGCCTCGCGCAGCCGCCCTGGGGCCCCGCGCACCTGAGCCCCGGCCCGGCACACCTGAGCCCCGGCCCCGCCCACCGAGCCCCGGCCCCGCCCACCGAGCCCCGGCCCGGCACACCTGAGCCCCGGCCCGGCACACCTGAGCCCCGGCCCGGCACACCTGAGCCCCGGCCCGGCACACCTGAGCCCCGGCCCGGCACACCTGAGCCCCGGCCCCGCCCCCCGAGCCCCGGCCCCGCCCACCGAGCCCCGCCCTGCCGGGCCCGGGTCCCGCCCGCCGCCGCGTTCCCGCCCCTCACGGCGGGGCCGAACCGGGCCGGGACCTTCGGGCCCGGGTCCCGCCCGTGGCCGCGGGGTCCCGGGGCCGAGCACCGGGCGGGGTCGGCGCCGGGACGGGCCCGGGCTCGCCCCGCCGGGCCCGCAGAGCCGGGGCAGTGTGTGTGAATCCCTCATCCAGCCTGGGCAGAAAATCCTCACGGAGAAACCCCGGAAATAAAGGATATGGGGCCGGGCCGGGGGTCGGGGCGCGGGCAGTGTTCTGCTCTAAATGAAAAACCCCTCGGGAAAAATAAACCCGTGGGACAGCTCATTTCCAGTCCTGGACCGGCTTCTGTGTGCCCGCCTGCGGTTCCAGCTGCTCCACGGGACTTTCAGCCTCTGGGTCTCTGATGAAGTGTCGGGGCTGAGCACGACAGGAAATAATGGGAAAACTCTCGGGATCAGGCAGTGCCCCCAAGAGCTGGCGGTGCCCAGCATTCCTGGCTGGAATTTGGGCATCCCAGCAGGGACCTTCCATAGTGTCCCCATGGAGCTGACACTGTCCAGCATCCCTGCCCAGGGTTTGGGGGTTCCAGCACAGCCCCCCAGCACATTCCGCTGCTTCCTCAAGTCCCCTTTAACCGGGATCATTTTTTGGGCTGGGGGCACCCAAACCCAGCAGAATTTGCTTTCACCAGCTTTGGGGGATCTCCCCTCTCCCCTCCTCACTGAATTCCTGCTCCCAAATCCCAGCCTGAGGCTCAGCTCCCCTTCCCTCAATCCCTCTGAGGGACTGGACTCGGATTTCCCAATCCAGCAGGGCAGCAGCGCTGTTTCTCCTCACTGTGTATCCTGATTGCAGGAACTGCTTAAGGAATAATTCAAAGAAATTCAGAGAATGAAGAGACACCAAGGAAGAGCTGCCAGCTCCAACCAAGGGCTGCTCAAACCCCTTCTCAATTATTTGCTTTAATTAACCAATGCAAATGAACCAGTCCAGACCACATTGATATGTTTTTATTCTTTTTAATGAAATTATGAACACTGCAGAATATAAAAGAACACTTTGAACCCCAAAACTCTTCTAGGAGATAGACAGGGCAGGGCTGCACTGCACCCCCAAAGTGAGGATTGGGAGAACCGGGAGAAAAGAAAATGCAGACTGAGATTCCTGGGAGATTGGTGCAGCTTCTGCCAGCCAGAACAATCCTGGGTCTGAGCAGAAAGATTATGGATTACGGATTGGGACCATCCCAAATCCCGAATTCCCGGTGTGGAATGCCACTCTGCTTTGCTCTGTAAATCACCGCCTCTCTCGCTGACAAACCCTTCAGCTTTGCTCCCAGTTCAGCGAGTTCCCAGCTGGGGCCGCCGGGATTCTCCGCAGCGTGTCCGGGCGGGATGCGGGGGGAGCGGCGGGGAATTGCCGGGGGAGCTGCCCAGGAGCTCCCGGCCCTGCCCCGTGCCCGCAGCCCAGCGGGAATCTCTGCCCGCGGCTCTGGAAGTTAGCCAGGAGCTTTGCCAAAAGACTGGCAGGAAAACTCACATCCCCAGCAGAGATAAAAACAGAGGGGAAAATGCAGCCCGAGGTGATGAAAAGAGAAGGGAATGATCGGAACCGTTTGAAATGGGTAAGAGGAAATGGCCTGAGGTGATCCCAGGGGAGGTTTAGGCTGGATATTGGGAAGTCTCACACTGGAAAGGCTGTCCAGCCCTGGCACAGCTGCTCAGGGCACTGGAGGGATTTAAAGCCGTGTGGATGTGGCACTTGGGGACGTGGGACAGTGGTGGCCTCAGCAGCACTGGGGAACGGTTTGGCACCGAGATCTCACAGGGCTCCTCCAACCCGAAGGATTCCATGATTCCAAGGACACCCTGAAGCTGCCAGCACAGACACACCTGTGCCTGCTGCAAGCATCATTTCCCTTCCTCTCCTTGGCTTGGCTGCCAAATATCCCTGGCTACGGGGAACACGGGAGCAGTCCTTGCTGTGGGAGAGGCCAGCAGGATCAGATCAATTCCCTTCAGAAAGAGCTGACAGGATCCAGCCAGTCTGTCCCCAGCTGCTTGGGAAGCTCCCGGCCCCTTCCAGCAGCAAGAGAGGGAAATCACCTCGTGCTGAGGGACAGTGACACGAGAGCTGTGGGGAGAGAGTAGCAGAGATGGGAGAGGAACAACACCAGAGCTTTCCAAAGGGAACACCTGCCTGATCAGCCTCCAGGACCTGTGGAAAACATTTCCAGCTGAGCTGTGAGTCCATCTACTCCATCTCCCACTCACTGACCTTTCAGCCATGGCCAGGAGCTGCTCTGGATGGAAGGTCCCCTTTGTGTCCATGGATGTGGCTTTTCCCTCACTGCCCCTGTGGTCTGTGGAGAGCCAAAGGGGAAGAAAAGGATTGAACAGGGAATAAAGTATCCATAAATACAGCAGATATGGCCACATGCCCTCACTGAGGTCATATAACAAATAATATCTCAAGCTATTGTGATTAAAGTCCCTTTTAGCTGGGAAAAGCAAGAGGAAACATTCCTAGTCCCCATCTCTGACTCCTTCCCTTTGCAGTACCTGTCACCCTGGAGTGCCAGGACAACGGGGAATGGCTTCCTTTTTTCTCCACTGCCACTCGATTAAACTGGAACCTCTGGGAGAAGGAAGGCTCCCGTGGAGAGCTGGAGGTTTGCAGGGAGAGCAGAGCTCATCTAATCCCACCTGAGCTCTGGTTCCTCAGCTCCTCCACGCAGATCCCCCGAAGAGCCGGGAGCTGGCACCCGGAGCAGCGGGAGCCGGGGCTGGCAGGACTCTGTGGCTGCTCCTCGGGGCTCAGCCCTGCCTGCAGTTGGGACAGCCAGGGATGGACACGGCGCTGGCAGGATTCACTCAGCAGCTCCAATGGCCTCCTGCTCCTCGGGGTGTCCCGAGGTGCCCTCACAGCCCAGAACAAACACCCAAGCTGGGAGCCACCGTCCCACAGATCCCTGCCTTTGGGGGAGCCCATCTCCCACCTCTGAGAGCAAATGTGTTTTCTGTCCCTCCTTTGCAGACCCTGAAGGACGAAGCTCTGGCGAGCAGGAGGAGTCTGGAGCCACGTTAGCACAGGAGATGGCAAAGGAAACGGTGGGAACAGGGACACTGCACAGCCCGCAGGCAGGGAGCAAGGGGCTCCTCCTTGAGCAGGCATTTAATGCATCCTCTGGCCATTTCTCCAAGTGACACCTGCTGTGCACAAAGACAAGGTGGCCAAAAGCAAATCTCCATCCCCGGGCCAGCGCCGATGTCCTCTGACCTGAGGCGGCTCTGCCGAGTCCAGCTCTGCTCCTCCCCATCCCACCTGGGTTATTTTCCAGCTGCCCCCTGGTCCCCTTGGCAAGGACAGCCAGGCCCAGCAGCTCTGTGCTTGCAGGGGGATGCATTCAGCTCCGTGCCTGGGCTGCCCACTCTGTGCATCCTCCTGGGAAGCGCAGCAGGCCCTGGGATTCGGCTCCCAGCCTGCCCAGCCCGGGCTCGCTCTCACCGCGCTCCCTCGGGTCTCTGTCCCCACGGCAATCCTGAGCCGCAGCCCGGGCGGCATCCCAGCTCCTCACCCAGCTCCAGCGGGCAGCAGAGCATTCCCACAGGGAGCCCCGGGAGGAGAGGGAGGCAGAGCAGAGCAAAGGGCCGGCAGGGCCCCGCAGCACTGGGACAAACGGGGAGCACGGGGGGCTCGGATGGAGGGGGGGGACACCTCTGGCAGAGCTCTCGGAGCCTCCGGCACACGGAGGGAGTTTGGTTCCTTTCCCTGAGCCCCTCATTGCCGTGGTGCTGCTCTCAGCACCCATTTCTGCCGTGCCTTCTGCAGGCAGGGGGATGGAGCCTTCCCAAGGGCGACGCTCTCACAAGGTGTCCTGCTCTGCCCCTCCTGGCACAGGGAATGCTGACCCTCCCAGCAGGACCCCGAGCCAGGCCGAGTTCATCGACTGCTCCCAGGAAACCAAACGGGCTTTGAAGCTCTTGGTGAGACACGGAGCAGTTTCCATCCCATACACTGGGCTTGTCCTGGGGTATCCCAGCAGCGAGTGCTCAGAGGGAAATGAGAGCAGAAAACACTGCCAAGGGAGAAAGGAGTGAATTCCAGGTTGTTCAGAAACCAGGATGAACGCTGTGCCATGTTACTACACAAACTGCCTGGGATTTCATGGGCTGGGCGCTGCACCTTACCCAGTCCATCAGCAAGTGCAGTCACCGAAGCCTGGGGATGGCTGTGCTGAGCCGAGGCTCCAGCTGGGCTGAGTGGATGAACACAGTCAGATGCTCACACTTTTCACTGCTGCTAGCCAGAATCCAGAGCCTTGGGCAATTCCCACCATGGCTGAAGGCCCAGGGGCCTGAGCTGAAGCTCACAAGGGAAAGGGCCAGAGTGTGGTGCAGCCTGGGCAACAGAACCCAGCTCCCAAAATAACATACCAAGCCTCTGTGACATCTCTGAGGTACCAGAGCCCTTTGAGGGACACAAATCAAATCAACAACTGCCCCAGTGTGTAACTCTCACAGTTCAAACTCTATACAGTCAAGACATTTTGATTTTCCCCTTCTATTATTGAGAAAGCGTGCAAAGGAAAAACAAAACAGTTTTCAAGCGTGCCAGATTTTCTAAAGAACTGGATAGTTGAAGTTAGAATATACCAATTTATATATATTATACCAATATATATCTACCTATATATATATTATATAGTTATACCAATTTAATGCAAAATTAAAGCTTTCAGCAGGTCTTTAATAAACCAGTCTCAATCTTGCTGCACTGTTGATTATTCTTAATCAAAAAAAACCAAATCTCCCTCAGCTATGCAGGGTCTCTGCAACTCACCAGAACTGTCTCCTCTGTCCCACCAAACCCAGCCACACACACAGAATACAGAGACAGCAGCTCTTTAGAAACTATTCTGTCTTAATGAACTGTTTCAGGACTGAAAGGTCACCCTCCTCCAAACCCAGCTACGTTTGTGACTCAGCAAAAATTTGTCACAGTTCCCTGTGTTTGTTTTTATTTCAGTTCCCCTTTCCCTGCCTCTGCCATGGAATGCTGCAAACACTCGTGGCACTGATGCCTCAACCTCTTTAGGCTTTTTTTTAATGGCTCTCTAAGTAACAGCCTCTGATTCTCAGTTCTCACAGCTGCCCCCGTCTTACAATGGTAAATAGTGAAAGATCAATGTGATTTCAAAATTATTTTTGTTGTTAAATGACTGAATTTACATAAAAATTAGAGGCAGATGAGTTTTGCACTGACACAATTCAGACAGCCATAACCAAAGTGCGTTTACCAGCTGGAATATGGATCAGGTCCTCCTTCGCTGGTTAACAGTACAGCAAATACTTATAGCTGCATAACCCAAAAGCCTGACTTAGTCCAGAAAAAGCAGAGGGAAATAGAAAAGATCCAAGCCCATAAGTGCCATCAACTGCTAAGCTACTGAAAAGAATTTCCAAGTGACATAATCTTGCCTCCTCCAGATTTGCTCTCTGTTGTGTGAATGGTCAGCGGCTGCCTCTGTTGCTATGAAAAGGTCCCAGCCACGTCAGGCCTGTTTTTTGTCCCCACTGCTCAATTTTTCCCAAGTGTTCTTGAACACCTGTAGCTTTTGCCACACCTTGTCCTGACACAGCCACTCAGTGAGAAAAGCTTTGAAGCTGGCTCCAGCCCTGCCTTTAGTTCACAGCTCCAAGGCCCTGTGGAGCCTGGCACCAATTAGGGAGAAGGTAATTAATAAGTCTCTCTCAGAGCCCATTTCTGGCACTGGGAAAGGGCTTTTCCCCTTAATTGAAACCAACTCACTTCTTCAAATCAGTCATTTTAAGGCCTGGTATTGTCCTTCACACTCATTACAACTCTTCTGACCCGCACCAGCACATTTCCATTATTACAGACTCACCCTCCTAGGACAGAAAAAGAAAATCTGCCACACTGCAAACAAAGGCTCTGAGTCAAATCCACCAGGACCTCCCCAGAGCTCTGGCTGACAAAGCTTTCAGCCGCTCCAGCCAAGACTTAACGTCTGGCGAACAAAATGTTCTGGAAAAACGTCGTGCCTTCTATAAACACATTTTTCTGGCAGGTCTGTCCCGTTGCTTTATAACCTGGAGAGGCTGACTCAGCCTGGCTTCTGCAGGAGCGAAGGGAACACGATGGGTCGAGGGGAAGGTGGAGGGAATGGAGGGTGGGGAGCAGAGAGAGAGGGGCAGAGCTGAGCCCCGCATGGCCCCCGGCGCTGCATGGAGCCGCTGCTCCTGCCCAGCTGCTCACACAAAGTTTACGTACACATTGCCCACGTCCTTCAGCCTGTTTTTGGTGCCCAGGCAATTTTCCAGCATGTCTTTTGTGGGCAGGGAGCTGTCAGTGCTGGTGACAAATTGCCGCAGCGCGTTCCTGCCCGACAGGCGGCATTTCTGCTCCTCCTTGGCAACGCTGTCCAGCAGGACTCCTCGGATGTCCTTGGGCTTCCCTGGCACGCCGAACATGACGAACAAGCCCAGGCAGTCCCGTCCCACCAGGCGGCAGAACTCGGCCAGCTTCTCAAACCTGCTCATGTTCTGGAAGCACTCGTCGGCCAGCGCGGCCTCCCGGCAGCAATCCTCGGCAGCGCCCTCGCCGTGGAGGAGCTCGGCCGGCTGCAGAGCCTGCACGGCGATCTGCAGCTTGATCTGCTTCTCAAGCCCACACAGAGTCCAGATCCAGTCCACTCCGAACAGGGAGGACTGCTGCTTGGTCATTTTGCTGGTCACGATCCGCTCCTCCACGCCCTTTCCCACGCAGAAGTCGATGAAGTTGACCAGGAAGATCTCGCTCAGCGTGTTCGTGGCCGGCTGGAATTTGCTTTGAGGATCCACAAAACCCAGATAATCCTTCAGCCTCTGAGATGCATGGAGCACACCCTGGCTGAAGACTTCACAGATGACCAAAGTTTCAGCCTTGCTTTCCTGGTTGTCCTCCTGGGAGACCTTCTGGCCCATTTTCTCTGCCGGAGGAGGTTGTTTCCACATGCAGATTGCCTCAGGGACAAACCTTTATTTTCCAGCAAAGGCTCTGCAGGTGCTGGGCTCAGCCAGACCTATTGAGCTGCACAAGGATACCTGCAGTTCTCCTGGTGAAGGTGATGGCAGAGCCGAGCTCTGTGTGCCCGCGGGGCAGCCGGGTTCCTCCTGGGTGTGTTTCTCCACAGGTGACTGAGCAGGGACCAGCCCAACAGGCCCTGTAGCTTTCACACTTACTGAATTAATATGTGCTTGCTTTCCTGATTGTTGATTCCAGCACCATTTCTTTGGCTGATGTTATCTCATTCCAGTCTGATCTTATCTCCTTGGATCTCCTTTCTAGGACTACTGCACAGAAACCATTTTTTTTTTAGCACAGGGTGTTGCCTGGAGATGAAACCACCTTTTTCTTTTAATCTCCCAGAGAAGTGAGATTAACACTTGGGACCAGAGTCTCTTTCGCAGCAGGAAGGGACAGAGCACCCTGGGAGGGCTCCCTCTGGAGAGCACACACTGGGCAATAATGATGCCACTTCTCACCACACCACACAACACATCAAATCTAGATCCCAAAAATAACGAAAAAGTCTTGATAGAGTCGATTTCTTAGCTGTTAGTTGAGCCCTGCTGCAGGCACTACTGACAAACGAATTAATGAGTCTACCAAAAAAAAAGTGTAATTTTGCCCCTTTTCCCGCCTTTGTTTTTTGAATAGAACAGAACAAGCTTCCTTGGAAAAGTAAAAGTAAAAAAAAAAAAAAAAAAAAAAAAGGACATAAAAAAAGGGAACTGGCTTCCAGAAACACTTGGCATTTTCCACAGACTTTATTAGATTTCACATGGCGATACACAGCAGTTACGCTGCCCTCTCCAAAGAGGCACCCACTGAACACCCCGACGGCACAGACAGTGTGCACACACACACATAAAACCTCCTGGCTTCATCACCTCTCTCGTGTCTCTGCCCTGTAAGAGAAGCAGGGCTCAGGGGCAGCTCCAAGGGGATGACCTGGCTGCCAGGAAAGGGCTGTTTGGAGCAGAGTGCTGCTTACACTGCACTTCAATAAACAATCTCTGCCCTCACTGATAACACTCCAGAGGAACTGGAGAGTGTCTGTGGCTGTTTCAGCACACACTATTGTGTCACTAGCTCTCTTTTTTCCCCTGTGAATACCCAGTCCTGTCCAATAGCCAGTGACTAGTGAGAGCCATCCCGAGGAACACTTTTGTTTGGAAGCCTGCACCACATTTCCCAATGCTTCCACAGGGTTTGATGTTCAACTTCGATGTAAATAATAACAATATTGTAGAGTATTCACGGAAAGGGAGGCCTGAATCCACATCCCAAGCATCTGTGCCCTAAACCTGCCCACATTAAATTTTGTATCTTGGTACATCAATCACCTACACTGCACATCCTTCCAAGGTCCAGGTTATCAGCTTACATCATTCTAATGCTGGCATATTCCTCTGATCTGAGGGGAGTTCCCTGAAAATCCTGGGAAGAGCCTTACTTCCTTTCCTAGCTTTTGTAACAGTGTTTCAGAAACACCCCCAAATTCAGCACAAACCCCAAATCCCCTGCACAACACCAGGAATGATCTCACTTCCAGCAAGGAGAGCGACAAAATGAGTGAAAAACGCTTGGCAAAGCAACACCACTGCAAGGAACTATTCCAGCTGGGCTTTTGTTTGCCTTTTACACAGCAAAGCAGCTTCATGCCATTGTGCTAAAATACATGCAACGTTCAACACCATACAAATGACCACTGGAATAAAAAGTTACTTTTGTTTGTTTGTTTGCTTTTGGCTAGGACACTTGGCAATACTGGAAGTCTGACAAAAAATTCCCACTGGCTAGTTAGGAATTTTAAAAACCTGATGATCCTCAAGAGCAGAGGATCTGTGCTTTAAGAAGGTAAAATGATGAGCAACACATTTGATAGCTGAATTTTGGAGGAAAAGTCCCACCTTAAGCTTAATAATATGAAGTAATATATTTCCTATAGATTTCTCTATATAATTTTTTTTTTTTTTGCAACTACACCATCTTCACGTTAGTCACAGCACAGAAATATCCCTTCCATATGCAGGGAGTACTCTCAACTTTAAGGAAATTTTTTTAAGTCATGGAAGTGTTAACAACCTTGCTGAATGCACTAACTACTGCTGCTGGGGACAAAAAAGAAGACATTTTAAAATGTGCAGTTTCTGGATGAGTCACTGCTAGAAGAAACATGCTTTAGAATAGTTTCATCTCAAATGGAAGATCATTAAACTGTGCACTCAGTAAAAAGCAACGAAAGCAAACAGTTCCAAAGGTCAGCCTGCCTTTCCCAGTAACCAGCTGGTCTGCAAACTGGCATTATTTTTTTACAACCTTTTCCCCTTCCCTCACACACCTTCAACCTTCCATCACTCTATCTCACAAAATTTAAATTTTTGCTTTTATATGTATCTCATATACGTCTTTTTTTCTTTTTCCTTATTTTTTTTTTTTTTTATAAAACAGTATAAAAATAGGAGCAACAGTCAAGGGCTACCGGGGAGCTTACACAGGGCACGGATGACTAAAATCCTACATTGGATAGGGCTGAACTGGTGTTTGTGCCAAAGAAAAGCACTTAGAAAAGAGCAGTAACTTCGTTTTTCGGCTGGGAGCGCAGAGGGAGCTGATGCACGCTATCTACACTTTCACCTAACACCTTCTGTACTTTTCAAACACTATCAAGGATTATCTGAGGCCAGGGATAAGCAAAAGGAGCACTAGCATACCACATCAATTTCAATGCAACACTCTGAAACATATCACCAGTTTGTACATTAAATAGAGTTAAAACCATTACCATTCACCAGTGTCTGGGTGGTTTTTACGGCAACTTAAGTAGGCACCTTGTTTTTTCTCCTTTTTTCTTTAAAATTCTCCACCCCTCAGTGTTACTTCTAACAAACAGAAGCAAGAGCAATGTAAAGTACATGATCTGCTGCCTGTCACATGGAACAGGGATGTCCTTGCACGCAGGAGAACGAGCCTTTGTCAGTGCCTGGTGGTGACTGTCACACGTTGGAGTCCTCATCTGTTATACTGGTGCTAGGAGAGCGAGTGGCAAAGTCTTTGAACATTTCATCTTCCTTCAGCATGTGCTGGAAAGGAAAGGAGGGAAGAGTCAGTCACCTGTCCTGTGCTGGGCAGCAAACACTGCCTGCCAGCCACTGCTTTGTTCTGCTGAGGGAGGTTTTCACCCACCCTGCTGCAAAACCAGCTCACTGCTGTCTGCTGGCCCCACTGCCTCGGGGCTTCCACCCAGATAATGCAGCCATGGGCAATGGGGGCTGTGTCCCTGCCCTCCCTGCGTGTGGGGAGCCAGCACAGCCACAAACCTCCCCATCAGGATGGGCAGGTACCTTCCTGAACCACTTGGCTTTCTTGTGCCCTCTGTCCCTGCAGGAGACCCAAAGGACCTCACTGACACTGTTTAACACCAGTGACTGCCAAGGGGTTCACAGCATCATCCCACAGGAACAGAGACCTTCCTGCACAGACCCCATTCACACACTTACTGTCAGGTTGTTGATGCCTTCAGAAAATGCTCCTATTTGCCTCACGGTCCCTTCTGAATCTTCCATCTATAAAAAACAGAATGAATCATGAATTAATAACAACTTATTTGTATCATCGAGTGGAATCATAAAATACTTTGGGTTGGAAAAGACCTTAAAAATCATCTCGGTCCAATCCCCTGCCCATGGCAGAGACAGCTTCCACCATCCCAGGTTGCTCCAAGTTCTGCCCAGCTTGGCTTTGGACACTTCCAGGGATGGGGCAGCCACAGCTTCTCTGGGCAACCTGTGCCAGGGCCTCAGCACCCTCGCAGGGACAAAGATTTTTCTAATACCTTCAACCTCCTAACATCTAAACCCACTCTCGGTCGGTTCCCTTGTTCATGTCCTCTTTTTTTTTTTTTCCTTTTACTTTTCCAAGGAAGCTTGTTCTGTTCTATTCAAAAAGCAGAGAAAGGAAAAGGGGAAAAATCACATGTTTTTTTGTTGACTCATTAATTCGTTTGTCAGTAGTGCCCGCAGCAGGGCTCGACTAACAGCTAAGAAATCAACTCTATCAAGACTTTTTAGCTATTTCTGGGATCCAGATTTGAAGTGTGAGGCCATTCCCCCTTGTCCTGCTATGACAGAGTGACAATTAAGTGCAGCACACAATTTACTGATTACACCGAAGATGTTCAGAGCCAGGGAGAAGCGTGGCCGGTCAGGAGAGGAGAGTTACCCCAGAACTGGCCCTCAGGTGCTGCATTCACAGCTCCAACCTCCTTGGGAGCACACCCTTTGTCACTAATGCTGTGTGACAGCAAGAGGTCAGGGCCTTCACGGGCCAAAGCAAAAGGGAGACTTCCCTGGGAAATGGAAGGTTTTCCCACCAAACCTGACAGCTCAAAGACTCAGAATTGTTAGAACTGGCTTACCTGCTCCAGCCTGTCCAAGTCATCATCATCATACACTCGGATATCCAGGCCTGGCTTAAAGCCCTTCTTTGATCCACTCCCAGATGCCCGGCCCAGCTCCATAGGACACACGTATTCCTCCACATCATCCTGCTTCTTCTTCCTCAGGTTCCCAAAATTGCTGAAGGTAAGTTTCTTTGGCTTAAAAGTGAAGAGAAATTTGCCAACAAGTTAGAAAGTCAGCAAAGAATTAACAGGCTTACTTGTACCCTCTTCATTTCCACGATGAAGGGTCAAAACCCCAGTGCTCTCCTACACAGATCTTCTGAATTTCATGACAGTGGCATCTGGAAGGACAATGCGTCCTCTCATTCTACCACTGTTAAGGCACCACCATTTAGCAGATCCCAAATGAAGGGAAAATTCTATATTAAACCATGAGCCTGTAAACAGTAAGGGACAGTCTCCCTCCCAAACATCTCTCAGTACAGACAGAAGAACAACACGAGTGTTACCTCTTGTCTGTGCATGTCAGAGAGGCTGACAAGTGGCCCTGTTCATGTGTCAACCCTAGACCTGCCAGGTCCTGCTCTCATGCTTTTTTCCTTAGGAACCAACCCCTTTTCTCACACCTTACTGCTGCGCTCTCCCAGCAGGGATAAAACCAAAGATCCAAATGCTTCCCTGGAACCTCCCAGCCCTCCCAGAACAAGTGGCCCACCTTGACTTTGGCAGTTGCTGTCAGGAGGACGTAGTCTGGGGACTCCATGGCTTCACGTTTCTGCTGCTGGGCCTCCTGCCCCACCAGCAGGTTGAAATGAGTGGCCAAGTGCCGCCTCAGCAGTGTCTTGTTCGGTGGGATGTTCAGCAGCTGGGCCATGGTTTCTACATTGAAACGGGGCTCCAAAACCTGGGAATCCAATCACAGAGAATCCAGCTGAAGCCACTACTGTCTGATGAGATCTCAAGTACATCCAGGCCTATCTTGGTCACTCCCTAAGACTGCTTTGGGATTTTTGTTTGTATTTTAGAGGAAATATGCAACAAAGAAGGAGGAAAGAGAGTTAGCTAATTAAAGGATTCCTAAAATACTACCTCCACACTGGAGTTGTAAATGGGAACAAATTAGCAGGTAAGAAGTGAACAGATAAATCCACCTTTAACTGAAGTACTGTGTGAAGCTGCCACAAAATGTTTATCCAGTATCATCTTCCAATTCTGGAAAAGGTAGCCAGAGGAATCATGGAA